GAGTGCGGCCAAGTCCAGGGCCGAGTGGGGCGGGCATGGAGGCGTCCGACTCGTAGATGACTTGACCGTGAGGATGCCAAGGTACTGCTCCAGGATGGAAGCAGCGGCCTGATCTGAGCGAACCCGGATGACGATCAGGCCTCCAAGACTTGGAGCGATGCCGGGCCTTGTGTTTGGACCGGGGGGCGGAACAGGACCGCCAGCAGGAGCCACCTCACCGTGGTACTGGGATAGGGTCGTACTTATAACTTGAGTTATAAGTTACTACAAGTGGACTTATAACGTGGGACAAGTGGACTTATAAGTTTGCTAAGTCCGAGGATAGTTATAAGTTACTTGTCTATGTTTAACTTAGATAGGCCCACTTATAAGTTCGAGCTAAGTTCCGGGTGCCGGGACTTAGAATGAACTTAGCTGGGACTTAGCTTTTTAGCACCATTTGAGGAAAACAGCCTTCGGTCATTCAGCGCTTGCGAAGCAATGTCCCAAACGCGTCTACCTCGCTGTGAGTCTACGTGTCTGCCTGCGTGCGAAAAAGCACGCGTGCGCTACCCCTGACATGTTGCGGACCACATCGCTGAACGAGAGAGAAAGCCTGACACCGGACTACGCGCGCGCGCATCATTTTTCGAGACGTACGGTCGCTCCCGGCTAGACCGCGCAGGGCGGAACACGGCGTAGCGGCGGCGGGGCCGCTTCCATGTTTGGAAAACACATCGCGGCAGGACCGCGCAGCGACCATCGCGGCAGGACCGCGCAGTGAGCCATCGCGGCAGGACCGCGCAGCGAGCCATCGCGGCAGGACCGCGCAGCGACCATCGCGGCAGGACCGCGCAGCGACCATCGCGGCAGGACCGCGCAGCGACCATCGCGGCAGGACCGCGCAACGACCATCGCGGCAGCGACCCGCGCAGCGACCATCGCGGCAGGACCGCGCAGTGAGCCATCGCGGCAGGACCGCGCAGTGAGCCATCGCGCATGCAGTTTACGCTGTTTGTTCGCGCTGCTTCGCACGCTTGGCTCGATGGAGCCGGAGCATTTTTTGCACTGATTGACTCGGTTTAATTTTGTTGTCCAATAATCGTTTCTATAGCGGTGTCTCCGCTGGCGGCCGGTCCGCCTTCATATAGTCGCATGGGGTGGTTTCTCCGCCGGCGGCCGGTCCGCCCATTTTGCTTTTCTCGTTTGATGATATATCATTGTAGCGGTGGTTCCGCTGGCGGCCGGTCCGCCAAGCTTTTTTTGCCACGTTCATTTTCATTTCGAGATGGCACTTGAAGCGGTTGTCCGCTGGCGGCTGGTCCGCCCAGGAATTGTTCGGCGTGATTTTTATTTCGAGATGGCACTTGAAGCGGTGGTCTGATGGCACCTTGCGATTTTTTGCATGTTTGGATTGTGAGTGCGCGGGTGAAAGGCTGCAAGACTCAATCAAGGCTCCAGAATCCAGACTGCTGACTGCAAACTCCACACTCCAGACTGCAGACTCCAGACTGCAGACTCCAAACTGCAGACTCCAGACTGCAAACCAGACTCCAGACTGCAAACTCCAGACTGCAGACTCCAGACTGCAGACTCCAGACTGCAGAGTCCAGACTGCCAACTCCAGAATCCCGACTGCAGACTCGAGATTCCAGATTCCAGACACAATGACTCCTGCCTCCAGGATCCTGATCTTTTGTGGTGGAATTCGGCCACGGGGCCTAGTTAAGTTATGTTAAGTCGTGGTGACGCAACTGGGCCTCACGGGGAAAGTTTGGCAGTTAAGTTGATTGAGTTACAATAGGGACTCCACGGCTCCACACGACCCGCCCAGGTTAAGTTAAGTTAAGTTTTGTTAAGTTCGAAAAAACTGCACCGGCCTTTCCGGGCTTTGGGGCGGGGCTGTCTGGATGCTGGATTCTGGGGTCTGGACTGTGAATTCTGGAGTCAGGAGTCTGGATTCTGGAGTCAGGAGTCTGCAGTCTGGAGTCTGCAGTCTGGAGTCTGCAGTCTGGAGTCTGCAGCCTGGAGTCTGCAGTCTGGAGTCTGGAGTCTGCAGTCTGGAGTCTGGAGTCTGGAGTCTGCAGTCTGTCTGTGGAGTTTGCATTCTGGAGCCTGGAGTCTGCAGTCTTGATTCTGGAGTTGGCAGTCTGGAGTCTGGAGTCTGCATCGGGAGTCTGGAGTTTGCAGTCTGGAGTCTGCAGTCTGGAGTCTGCAGTCTGCAGTCTGGAGTCTGCAGTCTGGAGTCTGCAGTTTGGAGTGTGGAGTTTGCACTCTGGAGCCTGGAGTTTGCAGTCTGGAGTCTGCAGTCTGGAGTTTGGAGTTCGCAGTCCGGAGTCTGCAGTTTGGAGTCTGCAGTCTGGAGTCTGCAGTCTGGAGTCTGCAGCCTGGAGTCTGCAGTCTGGAGTCTGCAGTCTGGAGTCTGGAGTTTGCCGTCTGGAGTCTGCAGTTTGGAGTCTGCAGTCTGGAGTCTGCAGTCTGGAGTGTGGAGTTTGCAGTCAGTCAGCAGTCTGGATTCTGGAGCCTTGATTGAGTCTTGCAGCCTTTCATCCGCGCACTCACAATCCAAACATGCAAAAAATCGCAAGGTGCCATCAGACCACCGCTTCAAGTGCCATCTCGAAATAAAAATCACGCCGAACAATTCCTGGGCGGACCAGCCGCCAGCGGACAACCGCTTCAAGTGCCATCTCGAAATGAAAATGAACGTGGCAAAAAAAGCTTGGCGGACCGGCCGCCAGCGGAACCGCCGCTACAATGATATATCATCAAACGAGAAAAGCAAAATGGGCGGACCGGCCGCCGGCGGAGAAACCACCCCATGCGACTATATGAAGGCGGACCGGCCGCCAGCGGAGACACTATATAGAAACGATTATCGCACAACAAAATTAAACCGAGTCAATCAGTGCAAAAAATGCTCCGGCTCCATCGAGCCAAGCGTGCGAAGCAGCGCGAACAAACAGCGTAAACTGCATGCGCGCGCGCGCCTGCCCTGCTGCGTTGAGTCACACGAAAATGTGTGATTTCCAGCGCGTAATGCTTCATCACTGCCATGCTTCAAAACGCATGTGTTTGCAAACTCAATGAACTTAGAATGAACTTAGCGGACTTAGAAAAACCTCTTTTCTAAGTTCAAGATAAGTTACTTATAAGTCCAAGCTAAGTGCTAAGTCACTTATAACTCCAGCGTAAGTACGACCCTATCCCAGTAGATTGGCTGAGAGCCAAGAGGATTGGCGAAATTCTGGATTGGCCGCATTGAGGCAAATTGTTCCAGCTCACCCAGGGACTGACACATGATCAGAGCTCTGAGATAGAGGAGACTGTTGCAAGGACGAGTGGCGGAAGGCCTCGAGTGGGCGGCGATGAGGACAAGCGAGTTTGCCTGCACGATAGGCACGCGACTGCCGACCAACCTGACCATAGCGTCGGTCTGCAGAATGAGCAAACTCAAGATAGCAGGCGTGCGTGAGTGTTATCGTGCACGGCAAGGTGTAGATGACAGGCAGTGCAAGCAGGCGGAAATCGTGGAGTTCCTCAGCGACGGCGACATCATCGTTGGGATCAAGAAAGGTTACCACAAGTCCAAATGTGGTGGTGGAGATGATGACGCCGGCGTGGTTCATTCCATTTGGGTCCGCTGGTGCTAGCCTTGTCATGTCTTGCGGCCTGGTGGCTAGCAAGTTGCCGCATGTGCTCAGATACTGCTGAGTGGATTTCAGCCCGCCCCAAGTGGCTATGTTGAGCTCGAATTCCTCCACCTGTCTCGAGCCATACTTCAGGTTGGACCTGAAGTCGGCGGATTCGAAATCGGTGTTGTGTCCTCCGAAGAGGACCCCACCTGGGGCAAACTCTGATTCTCCCATCTTGCTTGAGCCAAAATGGCTACGGACCCTCCCACAAACAAAAACGGGAAGTGGTCTTCCAGTTGGACTGTGCACTTGGTGGAACGGTGGAGGTTGAAGGAGAAAACCATTTCCTTTTGGTGGGGCCTCCTGAGTCATGTTCCATGTGAGTCCATGGTACCTGAACAAAAGCTGAGTTTCACCCCCGACGTTGGCGTGAAATCACTCACATCCAACCTCACTGCAGACCACACTCTCACAGCACGACAGGCTGACTTGGACAGGCACGGGCATACGCTAGTGTGTGTTTGGTACTGTGATGGTTGCCGCCAGGTTGACCCAGGATTGTATGTATGGCGCGTCATTGCCACTGTAGTGAATGACTCTAAATGATCCTTTCCGTTGTTATCGTGGTTAATACCAATTTTCCAATCACAGTCATCTATGTCACTGGACAGGATGATCCGTGTGATTTACAGAGGATACTCTGGAAATCTGCAGTGGCGGCCCATCAAGGCCTCCAAGACCTCCTCCAAGCAAACGAGTCCCCCCCCCCCCATTCTCCAAAGACGCTGGATTTCACAGAGTGAGAGAAGCAATTTTGTGGCACCCAAAGCTGAAAACAAATACCTTCAAGGACATGGTCCGGCAAAAAAGTCTAAGCGCCCAATGGGACGCTGGTTTCTTGAATTTGCTAGAGAAAAGGAAGACAGAACGTGGGGGTGTCCGAAGTAGGAAACCTGTTTGATTTCGCTTCGAAGGCAAACATATATGAAACCATATATGACAAGAGGGCGGTTTTGCCTAGAACGGGATTACAGTATTGGGACGGACCTCCATGGAGTTTTGGCCTTGAATAAACCTCACTTGCAACTGTCAAACTTATATTATCGCAATGTGGAAGGTAAACCAACCACAAACCATCAGGTTCCCTTGTTCCCCGCGTACTTTGTCTGGTGAAATCAGATGGCACAACGTACACCCGAAATATTGTTTCATCCTCTGGACGTACCCACATTAAGAGAGTTGTGCTATCTACTTTCACCTCGTCGTATCTGGAGGGATGCATACTTCCTGATTAGATGGGCCGACAAAAGTAAAACCGTGAGCTGCCAAGATTTCACTTGGCTTTGCTCCACACCGGTCGCATCTCAAAAAGCTCGCCGGCGCGGCGAAGAGCCGGGACTGCTCTTGGCCGCACGAGCCCGCGACTTCTGGGCTTTTGCCGAGCGGGCGGCAGTCCTTTGGATGGGAAGAACAAAAATGCCGTCTCACCAGCTAGGAGCATGCCCAATCCCAGGCAAACCTCGACACGGCAACCAGCCATGGCCCATTTGGTGCGTTTCCCTTACTTACCGATGCAGGTAAATGGAATCACTGGAGGTCACTACAATTAGGGGGCCCCTGCAGTCCTTCCTTTTGGCTTCCAAAACCATCCAAAAAATCTAAAAAGGGCTTCCCTATTTTGAGACATATCAGAGGTCGCAAGCTTGCAGGTAAGTAAGCTCGCTATCATCTCAGATGAAAGGTCCCCTTTCGGGAATCCCTCGCGTTTTTCGGGAAGAAGTCTCCTTTTGAGTGACTTCAAAGGCTCAAGGCTTGCTCCCCGGAGCAACATGACCGGGTTCCTCCCCCCCCCCCCCTGTTCCCGCGAAAGCGACTCCTGCCACGTTGACAGCCAACTCTGCACCGCATCCTCCAAGTCCTCCGAAGCTTCTCACACTCCGCACCCGAAGGCTCCCTGCAGGCCCTAGGGCTCAAGAACACCCGCCCGAACCTTTCAAAGATGGCGGCACCGGCAGAGTCCAAAAGAGGCTGCATGTTTGATGATTTTTCTCTGGCCATCCCATAAACTCGGTACTCGAACACTACTTTCCTCAGACAATGGGTGGGTGCTACCATTTTGGTGTCAGTTGGCTCTCATTGTAGGGCCATTGAATGGATACTCTGAATAAGGTGAGGGATCCAGTTGAAGGCTTGCACCCCGGCTCAAAATCGGAGCAAAACATGGGTGAGGCTGCTCTCTTGGCATTCGCCCATGGTCACATTCAAAGGAATCCGGAGGCACTCAAGTCACATTCTCCCATTTAGAGCAACCTTCATTCTCCTCTGGTAAACAAGTGAAAAACAAGGTCACCTTTCTCGGCAGCTGATTTCCCCCCCGCCCCCACACAAAAAGAACACAAAAGCTGGAAAACGGGGCACCAGGCACCCAACACCAACCACCAAAAACCCGAAAACTGACCTAACAAACAGCAACCCACCCACCCAACACCAACCCAACTGAATTGTCTGGGACCCAACACCAACCCCAAAACCGACCTAAACCTCCCGCCTGCGGCCGCATCTGCGGCGGCCGCCGCGGATTCGGCGCGGGGCGCCGCAGGGGCGGCGGTAGAGTGCCCAGTGGCGGGCCTTCCAATGGATGCCCAAATGGGAATCTCCGAAATGCGAGAAATCGGGGTCTCCACAGAGAAGAAAAGCGGAGAATCAGATGAACATGGAGGAATCTCCAAAAAACGGAAATCTCCAAAAACTATCTGGAATCCCTTTTTTGGGGGTCTCCCAATTCTTACACCGAAAAGGGAGATGCTACAAATCTACTTGTCTTTGGTGGGCATTTGGAAATCGAGAGACGCCACCTCATTTTCCTTGGGAAGTCCAAGACGCATTTCCAGCGAAAGGGACATTTGCAAATTGGGGATCCAACTTCCAGTGAACTTCCGGGTTCGCTGGTTATGACATATGCAAATATGTCCCTAAGCATCACCCCAAAGGAAATGCAAATTGAACATGACCGAAAGCGACCAAACACGTCCTGGACCGACATGTTTCACCAAAATCTAAGTGACCAACCCTTGTTTGTAGAATAAAGGGAAACAACCCTTGTTTGCAGGTTAAAGTAAAACAACCCTTGTTTGCAGGTTAAAGGGAAACAACCCTTGTTTGTAGGTTAAAGGGAAAAAACCCTTGTGTGCAGGTTGAAAGGGAAACAACGCTTGCTTGTAGGTTAAAGGGCAACAACCCTTGTTTGTAGGTTAAAGGGAAACAACCCTTGTTTGTAGGTTAAAGGGAAACAACCCTTGTGTGTAGGTCGAAGGGACACACAACCCTTGTTTGTAGGTTAAAGGGAAACAACCCTTGTTTGTAGGTTAAAGGGAAACAACCCTTGTTTGTAGGTTAAAGGGAAACAACCCTTGTGTGCAGGTTGAAAGGGGAACAACGCTTGTTTGTAGGTTAAAGGGCAACAACCCTTGTTTGTAGGTTAAAGGGAAACAACCCTTGTGTGTAGGTCGAAGGGACACACAACCCTTGTCTATTGGTTTAAGGGAAACAACCCTGGTTTGTAGGTTAAAGGGAAACAACCTTTGTTTGTAGGTTAAAGGCCAAACAACCCTTATGTGTAGGTTGAAGGGACACAACCCTTGTTTGTAGGTTGAAGGGAAACAACCCTTGTTTTTAGGTTAAAGGGAAACAACCCTTGTTTGTAGGTTAAAGTAAAACAACCCTTGTTTGTAGGTTACAGGGTTAAGGGGAAACAAATTGTTTCCTTGTTTGTAGGTTAAAGGGAAACAACCCGTGTTTGTAGGTTAAAGGGAAACAACCCTTGCTTGCAGGTTAAAGGGATACAACCCTTGTTTGTAGGTTAAAGGGAAACAACTCTTGTGTGCAGGTTGAAAGGGAAACAACGCTTGTTTGTAGGTTAAAGGGCAACAACCCTTGTTTGTAGTTTAAAGGAAAACAACCCTTGTTTGTAGGTTCAAGGGAAACAACCTTGTTTGTAGGTTAAAGGGAAACAACCCTTGTTTGTAGGTTAAAGGGAAACAACCCTTGTTTGTAGGTTCAAGGGAAACAACCCTTGTGTGTAGGTTAAAGGGAAACAACCCTTGTTTGTAGGTTAAAGGGAAACAACCCTTGCTTGCAGGTTCAAGGGAAACAACCCTTGTTTGTAGGTTAAAGGGAAACAACCCTTGTGTGTAGGTTCAAGGGAAACAACCCTTGTTTGTAGGCTAAAGGGAAACAACCCTTGTGTGTAGGTCGAAGGGACACACAACCCTTGTCTGTTGGTTTAAGGGAAACAACCAGTGTTTGTAGGCTAAAGGAAACCAACCCTTGTTTGTAGGTTAAAGGGAAACAACCCTTGTTTGTAGGTTAAAGGGAAACAACCCCAGTTTCAGACTTTTACAACCCCCGGAACAGTCAACATACTTTCTCCAGAGGTACAGCTGATGATACCTGGTGGGTTCTCATTGGTGTTTGCCACAACGTTCTGGAAATTTCGTCCTTCAACCATCCAAATCCACTTGCATTGGAAAGAGGCTAGCGGCTAGGGGGCCCGGAGGCCTGGGAAAATGAAAAAGAACCCCCAGTTAGCCTTCGTTCGGCAAACGGGCGCGCCTGGCCTACCATGCCCCGTCTGGAAAGGCAAACAGAAACCGGCCCCATGGTGGGCTTCTCAGGTCTTAGGAGCGCACGGGGAAGAGGTTTCACCTAACATCACTCAGCCCAACGTTTGTGCCTCTTGGAAACTCCAAAAGAGTCCGCTTGTTTCACGATTCCCCATGTGGAGTGCTCAAATTTAACAAAAGGAGTTACTGGTGAGTGGTGCTTAAAATAGGGAAGCAAACATACATCTGTTGCCAAAACGGATCAACGAAAGGGAACATACCCGCCCCAAAATTACAATGGTGCAAAGCAACGTCAAATATTGCTTCCTTACTGTAAACCACATATGGGCAGCAGGTGCCCAAAACTCGGGGACCTGTATGTGGAAGGTTTCCCGCCCAACAATAACATGAACGTGCACGGGCGTCCTTTTGACAGGAGGGACCAAGGGTGCTATAGCCCCGAATAGCCCGTATTAGGCGCTATGGACTATTGCTATATACACTAGGCTGGAATTAGGACCCCAGCAAAAAAAACTGTTTTGCCTGGTTAGTGGAAAACAAAGGGACCCCAAAAAAGCAAAAAAGCAAAGAAAAGGAGCTCATTCTGGGGAAGTTATATACATATATATATATATATATATTATAAATAGAGTGTGCCGCTTCCCTGATCCTTGGTGTCATTTTGAAACAAAACTGATGGCAATGGCGAAAAGTATTGGAACCATGTGTGTTCAACATGTTGATGCCGAACCAGCTCTAAAACTCCTAAGCACTCACTACTTACATGTCGGTAGAACCATCATATTATACATGATATAATCATTCGATGATATGGAACCATACGTCGCCGCCATATATAGACAAGTAGCAATATGATTCATCCTTTCCAGGCAAGAACCCGAACAACGAGCAAACACACAGTTGTCCATGGACTGCTGATTGCCCTTGCAGACCGCAAATGCGCCTCACGACTAACTGTGACAATGATTAATGTGTCAGTTCCCATTGAAACTCAACCATCCGCTTTACCAAATAATAACGATCAATGGCGACATAGTGATTGGGGGTCAGGGCATATGCAGCCCGCAGCGTGCCTGTTGGCTGCGGCTGCGCCAGCGCCGCTGGAGCCGCAGGCGCCGCAGGTGCTGCCAGCGCCGGCGCCGTGGCTGCAGCGGGAGCTGTGGCCGGCTGCGCCGCGGGTGCCGGTGAGGTGGCTGGTGGCGGCAGTGTGGGCGGGGGTAAGGTGGTTGGAGGAGGCAAGGCGCTCGGTGGGGGCAGTGTGGTTGCGGGGGGAAATGTCCTCGTTGGAGGTGCCAGAGCTGGTACCGTCGCAGGTGCTGCAGCTCCTGCGATCGCCGGGGCTGGCGCTGGTGCCGGCTCCGTCGCCGGGGCCGGTGGACCAGGCGGGCTGGGCACCGGCGGCGGGCTGGGTGCTTTGGGTTTTGAGACAAAAAGTGAGCTGAACCATCCGCCAGACGCTTTGGCCTTCGGCGCCTCGGGCGCTTTGGGCGCTGGCGGCTCCGGCGGCGCCTCGGGGGAAGCGATTGGCGGCGCCTCGGGCGGCTCCTCAAAGGCCCCGAAGGCCGCGCCAGGCACTGCAGGCGCGGCGATGGTCGCGCCAGGCGGCGGTGGGTCGGCTGGGGGCGGCAAAGGCGGGGCGTCCGCTGGTGGGGGCGGCGGGGCTTTGGGCTTGCTGCTGAAGCGGCTGAACATCACCGCGACCTGGCGGCGATGTTCACCAATGGTGAGGCACAGGGCTCCAGGGAACATGAGGAAACGCAGAGCGAACAAACACCACGAGGAAACAATTGGGCTCCCAGCCAGGGGGTTTGTGCAACGGTTTGAACACTCAGTGAACTTCTGGGGGTGGCCATGCGCCCTGAGAATCCCCACTCTCAGCATGTTGGCTTGGGAAGAACACGGCTTACATATCCATGCCACAATCTGTCCAGGAGATATTTCAGGCCGGCCTCTGTTTTTACAGCCTTGCTAGTGGCATAGCTGTCTGTTCTTCAAAACACAAATTGGCAAGTCTGAATGGCCAAACCAAACCAGGCCAATGATCTCAAAGCAAAAGCGATTTGAATGCTCTGCTGTTCCTCTCGCCAAGCTCATCAGCTTCACTTTGTGTGGTGGTAAACAGTTCAATCTTATGGTTGTATTTAATTTCATTTGATACCGGTATCAAGTCCAAACTGTAGGGTGCTGCTGAGTACAAACAAAGCCAGCAACGGACCAGGGCGGACTCGAACCACCATTTTCATGTGCTTCAGCCAGGGCTGATGACAATGACGCCTTATCCATTAGGCGACTGGTCCGGCTGCTTCCCTTTTTGCGTTGTTTGGATTTAACGCAGGAGGTGGCTGAGCTGTTCGCTTCGGAGTCCAGTGCCTGCAGTAGTTGGGCCGAGAGCTAGCAGCAGCACAGTTGCCTGACCTGCAGACTCCAGGCCAGAACAACTGAAATGGATCTGGATGTCATCCTGCTTGGTTTTGAAAACGGATCAATCCTTGGACTCTGTTCAAGAAAAACAAAAAACGTCAAACAGAAAACCGCCTTGAGTTCCATTTTTCAAAACACCCAAACTGCCATGTCCTTGCAGACCTCCTGTTGGCAAAAGGCTCCAGGTTGAAACAACCCCCCCCCCTCTGTCCCCCCCATCGACCCCCTTCCAACCAACAGCTAATCTACCCACTAAAAGAGCCAGGGCTTCAGATTCCACATCCAAACCAATCCAAACCGAAGGATGTAGTCTCCCATTTACCCTCTGAAAGAGCCAGGGCTTCAAATTCCACACCCAAACCAATCCAAACCTAAGCGGCGGTTTCCCATGTACCCTCAAAAGCCATGGCTTCATATCCCCAGTTCCCAGCAATCCAAATCCACCACTGGGCCAAATGCCCACTTCACCTCCGAGACCCCGAGCCCCGGCTCCGGCTCCCCTCTCGCGCGAAGGCCTCCGATGGGAAACCGATTCGGTATTAAAATGGTCGATCCGCAGAGCCATGGTTCAATAGAAAGGCGGAATTCCGCCACTATGTCCGGCTGGGACTGCCCCTTACCCAGGTTTTGATTGTGGCTCGGATATTCTCCCCAAGATTGGGGTGTATAACTTTAAAAAGCCGTATGCTCAGCTGCTAGTCCATATGAGCTCTCAAAACAAAGATATCCTCCCTCGTTGCTATGGCCCCTGACAGGGAAGGGTCCCTACAAGAGGACATGTATCTTCCAGGTATATGTTTGTATGCATAGTTTGATTGGTCTATCTGTTCATTCATGCATGTTCCAATAGAATCATCTATACAGGTGCACTAAGCATCTCAGGTTTCAAAAAAAACAATGTGCCGACTAGCTATTGGCAATAGGAAAACCGAGATACAACCAGTGTTTGCCTGTCTACAGCCGGGACCAGCGACAACAACTGCGTGCAAAGGTCTCTTCTTGCACCCTTGCGGTTTGCACCACAAGGCCCCACATCAAGTCGACCCAGCCTTGTACTGGGGGCTTGATATAACTACCGTGGCAATCATGAGAAAGAGATGCACTGGGTGTCTGTCCGTCTCTGGCCTCAAATGGCCATGACATCATTTGCACCCAAGCTCCTCCCTTGCATCACCAAACCTCCGCCTCAAATTTCCGGATTGCTTGCTCCACCTCATCACAGTGATGTGTGCCGTCAACCGGCGAAGACTTCAACTGCAGCTTGCTGCCCCGAAAGACGAAGAAGCGAAACGGCCACGGCGCAAAGTGGCGCAGAAAGTCGTCCTCGATGCCATCCACGGCCATAGGCCAAAAGAGCTGGCAGCTGCGCTGGAAGTCTCGAGCTGTTTGGATACGTTGCTCTGTGCTTCGTGGCTCCCAGACTTGCGGCCCATCAATCGGCCACCTCGCGCGCACATATTGCGGGCTATGACTACCCAAGAAGGGGTCACAACCGAAAGTAGACCGAAAAGGGGAATCATAAAAAGGCCAAAAGCTCGGCTGAACACCGACTAAGCCACACATCTCTCGCGTGGGCTTCACGAATGTAAACGCACAAGAAACGGATACGCGGGTCCTGCGATCGCCTGAACTTTAGGTCATTCAGCACGTGGATGGCGCCACGGAATGGAGGTCAGGTCCATGAGCCAGCACACACAACGGTCAGATCTCCACACCAGTCCTTCAGCTTGGAGCTCCGACCGTCAAGTCCCACCAGGGCGAGATCTGGCAGAGCCTGTCCTGGTTGCAATGCCCCATCTTTTGCGAGATTTGCGCGTGCGTACACTGACAGGTGGGCCAGATCTGGGGCCACTGTGTGCGCTGTCTGCATGCGCCTCACAGCTTTCGCAATGCCTTTCTCTGATCTGAATCCACTTTCCATGGCGACCTCGCGCTGCAAGTCGAGCACCACGTCCAACCACTCTCCACCAGAGGCTGCGCATGCCTCCATCCGCTTCAGAGTCCCCGGCGCAAAACGCAGCTCCTCCTGTCGCCTCAGCATTCCTTCCAGCAAGAGATCATCCAGCTGTGGATCCGGCCCTCAGTCTTGCGAACTCGAAATGCTCTTTGACATCCATAAGGCAACCTGGCAGGGAGGGTCTTCTTAGTGTTACCCTGTTTGGGGTTGCTTTACAGGGAAACCAACAAGAAACCATTCCAGGAGCTATCTTAGAGACCGCCTCCTTCTGAACTTCCTCACTGCTCGTCTGTAGCTTCTGCAAGCGCATGAGCAGCTCTTCTACACGATCTGATTCTGAGATCTCCATTTCCAGGTCCTCAAAGCCGTTCTTTCCGGAGATCTCCTGGTACCTTGGTTGCTGTAACGACCTCCCTGCAAAAAAAGTTGAGCTTTTTGGGGGGTTCGTGGAAAACCCAACTTGATTGCCCAAAAAGTTACAGTCTAAAGATCCAACCCAATAGCAGTCAAGGTACATGCCCCCGCGCAGCCGTAAGATCAGGTGCAACGTGGCATCGCGCTGAATGTTGTAGTCTGCGAGGCTTGCGCCGTCCTCCAGCTGATGTCCTCTGAAGACCAAGCGCTGCTGATCCGGCGGAATGCCTTCCTTGTCCTGCACCATCTCTTTCACAAAGTCAATGGTAAATCCTGGGTTGAGCCCACCAATGTACACGTCCTTGCCGGTCAAAGTCTTCACAACGATGTAAAAGCCCATGGTCTTGAAGCCCAGCTTGGAACTTGCCGAGATGCCTAGGGAGGCAAGCGTGGCATCCCTTTGCAAAGCCGCGCCATCCTGCGTGAGGATCATCTCCTCGCCGGCGCCTCCACACTGTCGTGCTAGGCGCTCGGAAACAAATGCGATAGTGTCAAATGCGGTTGCCTCCACTTCGAAGCGACCCACCTGAAGGCGAAAGACCTCTGCAACGTCTTTGGCCGTCTGCAGCAGACTCTGCTGCTGATTATGGATCTCTTCAAATTGCTTGATCATCTTCAGCAGCGCCTGCTCCTTGTCATGGAATTTCTTGTTCTTCAGGGAAGCTCGCAATGCCTCAATGTCCACAAGCATGGTCGGAGCGGCTAGGAATCTGTGGCACTGCGCTGAAATGTGCTTGCAGGATGCATGGGGCATGCGGAATGCGCAGTGACAACTTTGTCCACCAGGTCAAGTCAAGTGCCAAACTGAACGACAACTCCCGGCAAAAATGGATCTAGGCACTTGGCTTTAAGCAGAGTCATTCAGAAGCCCAAAGTCCTTGCATTTGACCAAAACCAACAGCTTCTGAAGATGTCGCTTGCCCCACTTGCACCAGCGGGTTCCACTCTGCCGACAGGGGCCAGATGGCCCACATTATATTCAGGCGGGAACCCGCGCTATTCAGGGGTGTGGTGTGCGATATGTGGGCTGGGTACCACATGTGACCCTTGTCAAAACAGCATGAGTAACATAACACCCGCCTGTGGGGATTTGGTTGGAAATCATGGGCTCACATGTCAGTATGAGGAAGTTAAATTGCTGCGGTTGCCTCGGGTCAAGGTTGCAGCTTGCTGTTTTTGTTTCCAGACTTGGTCGGTCTATGGCTGGCCCGGAGAAATCTGGGCGAGATAAACTGCATCTTGGCTTGCAAAACCCACATTCCTGCGGATGCCCCGGTCCAACGTGTTCGGTAATCCTGGGTGAACCCTATCTGTTCAACGACGGGCAGGCCATGGATCAATCATGTGTATTTACACATGTATGCATAGACACAGAAATCATGTCAACTCACGAGCTGGAAACGAGAGACGGACCTGTGATCATTGAGCCCCTTTACCTCGAATGGATCAGGCAAGAAGATCTGCTCGCTATGAATTCGTCATGGGAGCAATTGATATATCTTCAGTTGGATTGCTTTGGGAAGGACAGTTCGAGGAACCTGGTGCAAACAGCGGCACCAAGGCGCTTCTGCTGTGCGTGTCTTGTGGAGCCGCACACCTGGGATTGCTTCAGGGGAGCTTGGCTCAGACCTTGACAAAAATCAAGTTGGAGCCTCGGGAGGGGCTGAAACATAAGGTGCTGAGCTACTCTCACATCACATGATTCGGACAACTTGCTGAATGAGGAGCCTCTTGTTCAACCAAAGGGGAGGAAATCAACAGGCACTAGCTCCCGGAGTCAGGGGCTTGTGAAAATCACCGCCAATGCAGTTGTTGCACCTTGGAAGGCACCACACGCAAGGCTCCTGCTTTTCAGGATATGGCATTTTTTTCTTAAAGGACAGAGGTGCTATGCTAATAGGGTATTCAGGATGCAACCACTCCCAGAAGCCCTACAAGCGACGCCCGCCTCATGCACCCGTCGAGGATGGAGGCCATGGCATTTGATCAAACTAAGGTGTCCCGTGTGGCATTGAACGGGGAATTGAGGCTTGAGCTGGTGCCGGAGTTGTGCTTCTGCTTATCATTGTTGCTCACGATTTGAATGCAGACATGTCAAACACATGTTATTGACGCTAATTACTTTGAGGTAAGCTTAGAAAGTGCCTTGCCCCAAACAGCTACCACTGAAGAGTCGGAGGTGACTCTACGAATGCTAAGCAAACAAGCCAGTGCCATCGCTGCCATTTTTGGCCGACCATGTCCAGTCTGTTCCACAAACGACTAGCGCGGCTTCGACTCGCGCTTGAACCGCTTCGAAGCCGGGCGCAGAATCTTGCTTCTTTTGATGGCAGTCGACGATCAAAATGCAGTCAGCTAGAAGATATGTTTCAGTGTACCTGTTTCAAGGAATCAAACTTGAGTCCGCAAAGGAGTCAACTAAAGAAACTGAGTAGTAATTCACAGAGGTCAGTGATCCACGAACAGGTGAACTCTGGCCCACATCCGGCGCAATGGTCAACGGCGTCAACAACATAAAGATATATAAAGATGGTTTCGAATGGCCGAACGACATATATAATGCTATCTAGGACACATTTCATCCGGACATAGATGCGGAAGCGACTGCAAGGTGACAGTCGAGCGTCGATCAGCCGAAGTCAACCCATGCACTCCAAAGTTCTAAACTTTGGAGCTAGGTGCGACACCAGGAATTGCCAGCATATCTTCTGTTCGAATCGAGTTGTCAAGGCGAACCTGCCCGACATCTGCCAGGGCCCAAAAATCAACGAGTGGGGTCAGCTTTCAGGCCACTACTCATGTGCTATGCGAACCAAAATCTGTGCCAACTGAACATCTTCCACCCCAGTATCCGAATCTGACCCAAAACTGACAGCGCGGAAAGTCGGGCTCAAGGGTTACGCCCTGTTGACACAAATATAACATGGACATGAACTCAGGCCAGCCAAGATATGCCCGGCTGAGGGCCTTTCCCTCAATACACAGTGCCATGGCAGATGAACCTAGAATTGGACAATTCATGACCATGCAGGAATCCAGGTCTTTCAAATGCCTGTGCTGGTATCCAGCTCTTTCGATCATATGCCTTGCCAAACATCACACATCAAGAGCACAAAAAAGGCACCCAAGAAGGGAACCTCCAGTGTCGAAATCCCTGTGCGAAGTTCAGTATACTTCGCCCAAGCCACTGCAATCTCAACTGACCGCCCAAAACTCCTTGACTTTGGGCTCTATGCGTGTCATGAAGGCTGCTACTTCACGACCATCCCGTGGGCGTGAATACTAGCTAGGTGGAGATTCACGTCCAGCAACCACTTTTGAAGGGGTTCCCAATTAAGATTCATAGTCAAATGAAGAAGATACAGGATATGAGCCATGGTCAATATTTCTTGTGCGTCTCAACGACATTGGATTTTGGTGAGCTGCATTTAGTAGCAATTCGGTGATTGTACCAACGTCATTCCTTCAGTGCACTGCTCCTTATCTGCCCAGTGCCATAGGTGGCCCTGGTAAATGGGGCATAAAACCCGAATCTAAGCCACTGGAACCCATCTATTTCTAGCCAAACCAACCGACCAAAAGGACATCCATCTGCAATCTTTGAAAAAAAAAAAAACGAAAGCTGAATTAAGTAAGGGATCCCCAAGCAAAGGACCTTTATCATGGTGCAAGTGAGCTAGATCTATGCGTGGCCACAAGCCCAACGTCACCCCCCGCGTTCTCCGCTGCACCGCCTGTGCTCGCAGGGCGGCCTCCGCCCTGTCGATGGTGCTCTGCCTCGAAATGGAATTCTGCTAGTTCTCTGCTGGGGAATGGTGTGGGTGGCTCGTTCCTTTGGGAGGTAGCCCCCCTATATGTGCCCTTAAAGGGAAACCAAAAGGAACACCACCATGTCTTTGGGCGGGGCCGGAAAAAAGACACACCCATGTCTCGTTAAAGGATCCCGACTTCTGTATTCCCCAACATGTTGGTGGTGTCCTTTTGAGAATCAGCAGGATTTGGCACAAGGGTCAGGGGTGATTCCAACGTAAGGGTCACAGAAGTTAAGGCGGCTTGGTAGGGATGCCCAGAAAAGTGCCCCGGTTTAATCTCACCCCGGAAGACAATCTTAATGGCGAACCTACCTGGTTACATTCAAACAGATGTCAACGGCCAACGGAAAAACATATCACGGCGCTTGTGCTCTCAATACTGCTCTCGCTTTTCACTCTCTCACACGCTTGTGTCTCTGACTCTGCGCATCGTTTTTCTCAAATTTAGCTCTCAGCATGCGCGAAACAGAATGCCTCAGGGCCGAACAGAGTATGGGGTCAACATTAAATGCTGTGGATGGTTGCAAAATCCATTTCGCACCACCTAAGAAACCCTGGAATGATGTTCTCCTGTAAATGCCAAGAAGCCGTGGTTTCAACCATGGTTCCTTAGGTGGTGCGAAATGGATTTTGCAACCATCCACAGTAGCACCGGCTTCAGCCATGGAAGTCATCTGTCAGCACTTTGGGCTGCGGGCAAGAGCTCATGCTCCCTGGTCTCGCCGTTGCCTGGGCCAAAAGTACGTCTTCATGCAGGGGTCCCTGGTTCCCCCCGCCCCCCCCCCCGGGGCAAAAGATGCCATTTGAGGTGGTTTTGTCCATTGAAAGCCAGTTTTGGAAGGTTTAAAGAATGAAATCCAAAACAATTTAACGGGAACTGGAGGAAACGCTCTCAAATGCAGGTTCGGGCCAGCCTCAATAATGCTACACCAATTCTAATCCAGTCGGCTTTGAAATTGGTGTCCCTCGAATTTGGTGATGAGTTCTACGAATCCTGCTCAACCCTGTTCAAATGTTCAACCCTTGAGGCCCCCATGGGGTAGAGGTGTGCAGTTGCTGCCTAGGCAGATTCGTCAGGGCAAATACTCAAAGGTGAAATGTCTTCAAGATGAGTTTGATACTAGCCTCGTTTTGAGTGTATGCCTTGAAAACAAACCATGCATCTGAATCTGCAAGTGTTGGCATCTACACATTTCTCAAGTTGAAGGTTCCCTACTGTGGATGGACAAAATCCTGCACCACCTAAGACACTCTACAATGATGATTATCCTATAAATAACAACAGACAATGGTTTCCCATGGTTCCTTAGGTGGTGCAGGATTTCGTCCATCCACGGTATGGGCTTAAAATACAGTCTCTTGGATGCTGTAGCTCCCCCGGCAAAAAGTTTTACTTTTTGGCCGGTCAAAAGGAAAGATGAGGGCTCTCCCAAAAGTTAAAGTCTACCCAATGGAGGTAGAGTTATCATAGAACACCTTGGCCCCTCACTCCTCCTCGGCTTCCATTGGATGACCTCGGCACCCACCCGACCCAACGACTTCCGCGTCGAGGCATGCGCCGGCGAGGGAGGTCTGGATCTCCTGAAGGTTCCGGTGCAAGCTGAGGATGATGTTGCCCACGGCCTCCGGAAAAAAAAAAGACAAAAAACGAGGAGAAACAAAAACGAGGGAAAAGAACGGGGGGAAAAAAAAGACACGAGCGATCACGCGCTCTCGCCAAAGAAGCGCGAAAACGGAGAAGCGCGAAAACGGATGATGCGCGATGGTCGGGGAAGCCGCGGTTTGGGTCAAGTGACATCCAAAGCTCGGAGCTACAGCGAAGGTTGTAAGGGAAGAGCGATTGACTGAAACGGCCAAGGGTGTTGCAGCCTCGAATTCGGGCCCAAGAGAAAAACAGAACAGTTCACCTTCCGACCATGTGACTCTGATCGGGCCAAGCGAGGCCAGCTTCGAACCCAGGAAGCTTCGTTGCGAAAACCCCTGCTTGATGAAGGTAAAACCTTTGGGGGTTCCCCTGAAAGACGACACACCCAAATGATACTCAGATTGAAATGGAAGAGGACTCCCAAAAGGAGCTAGGTCCTCCAATAGAGAGGTTAGAATAAGGGTACCCTCCCCAAAAAAAGGGTAAGAGGGCACTGGGGGACCTAGGGATACTTATCGAAACCAAGACCTTTGGGGTTCCACACCGAGCACAGCGTCCCTTCGCCCCCGCCTCCACGTTGGCCATCTCCTTCCCGCCTGCGCCCATCTTGCCGCCGAATCGGCAGCAAACCGCAAGTGAAAATTGTCTCCTCCAGACCCTTGGGCACGAACTTGCGAACAGGTTGGCCGATTGTGTCTCAGCAAAGGAAACACGCACACACACACAGACACACAATCACAACACAAAGCCACAAGCGCATGCGCCCACACACAGGGGATTATGCAAGCTTTGTGTTGATTTCCTGGAAGACTCCTGAAACGGGGATCAGCCCTACTCTGTTTGGTTCTGTTTTGATCAACGTTGGACCGTCTTCTTTGATGACATGTATAGTGGAAGGGCTTTAACCTGAGAGAAACCCGGGCAAGCCAGGCACGCCTTGATTTTTCACTATGAATCGAAGGGTGGTTCATCTAGCCAGGCTCTTCCCAGCTCAAAAGCTGAATGCCTTGGATCTAGGATATTCTTAATTTTGCAATTGGTGCTCCAAAACCTTTACAACGAGGGCAGGCTGTGGGGGCCCCGGATCCTGTTGAATCTGACTGTTTTTGGATTCAATGTCAAGCGTTTTGGTGTGGAAAACCGGCAATACTCATTTTAAAATTGGCAAAATACTAAATTAAGTACTGGACATCTAAGCTGGGAGACCACCTACGGGGCACAGCATGGTTTTTTGAAAAGAGGGGGGCAAGCCGTGGACATTTTGTTGCTCCCAGTGGGACATGTGACATGGCCAACAAATTGTGTGGAGATTTTGGATGCCACCCACCCCACCCCCAACCTCCGCCATCCCAAACTGAGAACGGACAGCCAATAATACTTGCATCTAAATGACACATGTATATATATATATATGTGTCCACAATATATATATATATATATTACATTTTCATTTGTTCAGGCCACGTCAAAAAAGCCAGGCTTGGTGTCTGTGGATGTAGCCCCGCCTGCTTCACCGGCACATCAAGGCAGGGCTGAAACCTTCCGCTTCTGCCCGCAGAAACCTTTGCAAGTTGAGTAAAAGCCTGCGTTCGCCAAGTCTCTGGTTCTGCATGCTGGCACTGGGGGTTTTCGAGCTGAAGCTTGTACGCTTGCCCTCGCAGTCGCAGTCAGTGTCATGTGCGCGTTCATGGACTCAACCTTGAACCAAAGCCAGGCAAGACGAGCTGAGACGCAACTGTGGAATCAGCATCCCAACACCCATCAATCCGTAGCAGATAAACTCCCAGAAAAAGAAACAACAAAGAAAAGAAGAAAAAAGCTACCGAGACTTGGCGAGCCGAGTCGGCATTGGGCAAACCTGGGGACTCCCAAGGGCGTTCGTTGAGTCTCCGGGCATTAGGTGACTTCTTTGCTGTCCAGTTGTTCCATGCTGAATTCTAGTCAAAGGATTTCATATGTTCCAACTGTAGCATTTTGTGTTTCAAAACTTGGCAATGTAAGCTAAGGTATTTTGGGCGTTCCCATTTTCAGAGGCAAACGCCGCACAACAGCACAAGACCCTCCCATTCTTGCTGGCTCTCAGGAGGAAATCACAATGTGTGCTGGGGAATGAACAAGTCGGGGGATGGTTTTTGTCAGGGTCATTTCCTCATTCCCTACTGAGAACACAGCATTTTCAGTCCGACTCTTTCCTCGCGATCTCAGCTCGTCTCTTCGAAGGTGGTTTGGTATGGGTCACACATTGCCTCCATTGCCTCACCTGGCAAGCAGCACATCTCAAAGGGGAAGCAAAGGCCGGGGGATTTCGTGATTTACAGGGAAGCCCATCCCGGAAACGGGAACCACTTGTGGGGAGCGTGAGGCCCTTTTCAACACCCCCCCCTTCCCCCCCTTCCCCCCCTTGGGCGGTACTTCGAAGGAAACCTGGCGGGAAAAACAAACATGTCTAGCAGATCCCTGCGGTAGGACACATGGGACAAGTCCCTGTCCCTTCACAAGACTACAATGGAGAGGTCCAGGAGCCCAGGCAACATGTCTGCAAATTCTGCAAATCACCAAGAACTATTGACAGATTCAAGACTTACATACGGAATAGCCGGACTTGTTGTGGTCTCCACACGGCGCGAGCAGTACCGGTGGGACCTGGGGCTTACCTACGGAATAAAACATTCAAACTGGCGCTCAGCATTTGGGAACGTGACGAAATGTGAATCGGATTTCGAGCAAATGAGATCCCGACGTCTATCGTGAGCTGCCGAGGGGCCATTCATTTCCCGAGTGAGTGACCTTCTTCGCACTTGGTCTATTCCATGAGAGGAGCTCAGTGGGGCCGGGGCTGCGGTGAAAGTGCAAAGCCGCTGTTCAATTTGAATTTGCCAAAAAGGGCGTCGTGTCCTTTTGGTTCCGTTTAAAACAGCCCCAAAATGGGTACCTTCAAAGCAGTGCATGTTCTAGGTTCTTTTATTTTGCTTTTTTCTTTGGGGGGGTGTTCTTGCTTTCGGCGGAGAGAAGCCTTGAAAACAAGAGGGCAGCTTTTGTCCGGTCGGACTTGCCCCAGCGGCACCTCCGCTGAGATCCGCCTCGCCTGGCGAAACAGACGCGCCCTGAGGGATGTGGCAGGGACCCGGCAAACAGTGACACGTTGACACGGTCTTTGGTGGTTCAAATAGAAAATTCTTGAGGAATCACATAGGTCACATAGGTCACATAGGTCACATTGGTTCAAAATTATTGGTCACATAGGTCCATTGCCAGGTTCAAAGGTAAGCTAAGCCTGGCAATGGATCGTATCAAGATCATATTCAGAAGAATCAGTTCAAACAATGTGTCGCCAGGGTACCAAGACTGTGGCATCTCAAAGATGGAGGATTCCCCTGGAGCAGGTCGCACCTGCCGATAAGGTGAGTCATAGCTTGAGGCCAAATGGGCGAGCAACGCGCCGCAATTTACTCAAAAAAGCAGTTGATTCGTGTCCGGTCCTGTGTTTGTTCATCGTGCGTACTCACGATGAACCCTGGGAAACTTGTGCCAAAACAGGGATCGCCTTTGATGCGCACTTGCAAAAGTGAAACAAACAGAACGACTGGAGTGAGGCCCTGCTATTTAAAGCAACCACTCCATTGTTTGCCCCACTGTTCATCGCAAAATGCCGCATGTTTCCGAGCTCGGCTGTTGCTGAAGCACATGGCTCTGGAAAGAGGTGCTGCTCGGTGCTTCTACTTCGACATGACGTAATACCCGAGCAGCGAATACCAGTTGGTTTGACCTGGCCATGGTAGCTGTTTAGCATGGAGCCTTGTAACCAGCGGCCAGGGATGATGGCGACCGATCGCTCACGTGGAAAGCCACCACACTGTTCAAGTTCGGTCTGGATAAGTGACAAGAGGTCAATAGGTACTATATTCAGTCTGGAGTGACAACAAACTGTTCAACAAGCCCCCCGTTCAGTCTGGATAAGTCACACGACGGCGAAAGGTGCCGGTGTTGGCACGGTGCCATTCGCTGGGCCGCCGCGCCGGTGGCTTCCTCCTGCAGCGGTCGCTTCCTGCGAGACAAAACCGGCGCGAAGGACATGAAAGGAACGATCTGCTCTTAATATGGTGTACAAATCAAACAAAAGCATGAACGAGTACATGAATGTATGCACGCATACGTTCAGTGTGTTTGGACATCTAATGACGCATATGAATACATACATGTCTCATGAAGTGGAACCAGTCTGCATGTTTGCAACTGTGCTATTGGGACCACCGATAGCTGGTGAACCGCCAACCTCGACGGGCTAGGCGAGAAGCAAATCACGAGACTCCTTTCAGCTTGGCCATTCACAAAGGAACAAAAGACACAGCTTAGATAGAAAAGCGAGGCACAACTCGCCAGAATGCTGTTGCGACTCGGCTTCTCACTTCAGGTTCCAAGACCACCTCTCTCTTCAGAGAACACAAAAAAACCAAAAGGGCCGGGGGAAAAAGACAAAAAAAGGAAAAAAAAACACCCTGTGGACTTCAGTCGGCAAGGTACCCGTCCCGTTCTGATGACGGCCCGCAGGTCGCCACATTCGACGCGGGCGGGGGATTCATCGGCGCCGCGCCTCGCGCCGGCAGCTCGGGGGTCGCCGCTGGGCGCCTGCGGCTCCTCCGTTTCGAGGGCCTCCTGCGCGGCGTCGCTCCACAAGGCGCGGGTGGGAAAAAAAAAACGGCGCTTTTTTGAGGTTCGGAGACCCGAAACCAATTGTTCCACAATGAGTTGATCGGATTTTTGAGGCAAACCAAGTTCTAGACCCTGACTTGATCATATTTCGGCTCAGAGCAACTCTGCGTGTGTTGCGCAAACTCGGAAACCCTACAGGTTTCCCTCGCTCTTCACATGGACACAAGTAGTGGGTCGCGGTTTAATCACTCCCCTGTGGAAAAAAGCTACACCCCTCCCCCTTCTGGAAGCAACGTGGAACACAGACACACAACGTGTGATTATCATTCATGGGGGTCTGTATAAAACCGCGCACTGCAAGATTGCACTGCCCTGTGCCGCAGCCCTAGGAAATCAAAGCAACATGCGAATCAACGGTCAATGCCGTGGCAAGCGTTGCACCCACTATGCTCTTCTTGAACAAATCAGGTAAGCTGCGCAATGGAAGGGGAGAAGCACCTTGAAAGTGGCCCTTGCACCACTATGTGCCTCCAATTGCCTAAGTGCCGCCAGAATGAGAGCTCACTTGGCCCGGCATGTCTAAACTGCCCATCTTAGGCTGCAAAGCAGAATCTCACACCTCCTAGGTGATCACGAAACCCACATCTGCCAAAATGACACATCCGAACAAACAGTTGGGGTGTTGTGTGACGCTGCTTGGAGAAAGGCACGAGGTGGAGACATTTAATTGGAGCGGGTGGGAGGATTGTGGCTCCTTCACCAAATTACCGTCCCAAGGCTTAGATCAAGCACCCGAAAGCATGACTGTCAAGTCGTGGCAATCTGCGTGAGTCCCACTTCGCCCACTTCACAACAAGTTCAAGAGTAGATAATAGCTGATTTTGGCCGCTGCTCACTTGACAAAGTCTATACATATGTAGACATAGAGACATACATATATATATATATATATAGAGAGAGAGAGAGGGACAGATTCATCTGTATGGGTTTCTCTCCATGTTGCGAGGACCCCTCGCAGACAAGACCAGTTCCGAAAAGGGTATGCAAAAACACAACTATTTCTCTATGTAATATATGCATGATATTATCAATGACGTAATTAAGCCAATTCTAGCAAGCGTACCAAAGCCCCAGGTTCGCCCATATGCCGCCCAAACCGCTGGCATGGCACAGCCTGAACCGTGACGGGAACCTCTTTGCTCTTCTTCACCTGCACGACACGAGCAGCTGCAGCGTTGGTAAGCTAGGTGAAGGTGAAAATGACGTTTGCGCTGCGTTCCGGCGGGTGTTAGGTCCGCCCAACATTCCACTTGTCTATGGTACATGTGTGTCTGTTTTTGAGGGTACCTTTTTTTGGGGAGGGTTCAAACGGTAACCAAAAGGAAAGCCATCAATGGATAACTCACAGCCAGAATTCAATACCTGGCCCAAGAGGTGAAACGCGAAACATGAGATGATGCGATGCAGCATGTGATGGTATGATGCGATTGAAGAAAAGGAATCAGGCCTTTATATTCCAAGGTTCATGCTGACAAGGTCCAATTGGTTCGTGCAAGTCAGCTAAGTGGGGTGCAAAGCCAATCGGCAAACTGCACCCTGGCAACTGGACTGGAATGATGGGAGCAGTCAAAGAAGGCGAGCTTGATTCACAGCAACTTAGCGTTGGCAAATTGATTGGTTTGAAGCGCTTTTATTGCCCTAGGGGGGTATTTATCAGGGGCGGAGTTAGCTTTCACCACCGTTCAAAGCGCAATTCTGAGAATGTGACTCCACACGCCCGCAGGATAGAAAAGAAGATCAAGTTGTTTGTATTCGAGAAGTCCGGTTTTGGGGGGGACCCCCTTGGGTTCTAGAAGGGGAGCAGCTGGTTTTAAGCAGCCCAGTGACAAGTCTTCAAACAGGCCTCTTCATTTCCTCTTGAAACATGACCCCCCCACTTCAAAAGCTGTGTGTTTAGAACCACCTGGAGTCTCCATGACCCATAAAAAATGGTTGGTCATTACTTAAAATAATGGTTGGTCATTGGCCCATGTTTATTTCGGGTCATGGAGATAAAGGAGACTCCAGGCGCCTCTCAATGGACATATTTAGGTTGAGCCTTGTGAAAAAACTGGTCGACCAAATCGGCCCTGAACCAACTCGGGGCGCCTTCTTCGGCTTCACGAAGTGCGGGAAGGACTCCATACCTCCCGCTGCGCGATTTTTTTGGGAAACGCCACGAAATCGGCCTGAGGGGATCGGGATGTCGGGGGTTTCGGGGGGTTTCGGGGTCCACATGTTACCAGGCAACTCGCGAGCTCCCATAACGAGAACTTCACGAATCAAAGCCAGAAGGAAAACACATACTCACTGTTTGATGGACATTGTTATCAAGGATGATTACACCATTTCAGGAAAAAATGTGAACCCTGCCGCCATGAAAGAAACAGTCACCTCTGTTCGAAACAATTCCTTTCCAACTCCATTCACATCCCCAAGCTTCACTGAGGAATTCCAAGCAGAAATGCACTCAATTGCCTCCGTGGAGCAGCCTCCCGAAAATGGCAGTGGGAAACATAGGTCCCAAAATGGAACCCTGGTAAATGGAAACATGGACTAAACCCTGCGGTCCCCTAGTGGTTTAATTTTGACCCCTGTTTGAGCGCAAGGACGTCCCTGTGATTTGAAATGGGCTTCCTCCCCGAGTACCATTCGGGTGACGATTAAGTTCTGGGTGTTAAACAATCAATGTGGCTCAAACATAGAAAATAGGCACCCAACATGGAACTCATGGAACCCTGTAAATTCCAAACACCAACCTTGCGGTCCCCTGGCTGAAAACTTGAGCCACAGTAAAAACAGACTCCTATGCAAAAAGTCACACTGACAATCACCAGCCAAAGCAAAGATATCTGAGCCACGCATTCCTGTAGACACCTGTTTCAAATGGATGTCGTTCAAAGCAAAAAGGCCCCGACAACATCCTCCTCCTCCTCCTCCTCCTCCTCCTCCTCATCATCATCATCCACAACAGCAACAACAGCAACAACCACAACCACAACCGGAACCGCAACATGCCCATAACATGCCCCACCCCCAAGCGCCCCCAAAGCGCCCCCGCACATTCACACCTGGGACCCTGTGAGCTGGCAGCGAACTCCTCGACTCACATAGTGCGAGAAAGGTTTCTCCGAGGTCTATATAGCTGTGGCTCCAAAAAACGGAAAACATGAAACCCTGGGAAGTGGAAACATGGGTGCCAAAACCTGCGGTTTGCCCCTCCTGCTTAAGTTTGAGCCACACCCATATGATTGTGGGGTACCGTAGATGACATGGCCAGTTTGGTGTGCCATTGACCATGGCACAACCAACAAGCTAGGGGTTCATATCTAGCAGGGGCTCATATACGAGCTGTCATTCCTGGGTTTGGTTCCAGGAAAACGTCTTGTGGGTGGGTGGGCCGAACCCAACCAATTTCCTGGCATCTTTGCAGCGCTCCGTTTTCAACGGAAGCTTGAATCACAACCAGCAACTACTCACATCCTGAGATGAATACAGCTTGTTTGCCTCCCTGACGGTGCCAGGCGCTTGTGTGGTTTCTTGACTTATGTGTAGAAAGTACCCCAGAACCCCTTTCCAAAACATTTGCGCTTGTCTTATTTTGAGGGTACCCATTCTGGGATTGCTTAAAAGGGAAAACCAACCAACTGCTGGGGTCCCTTTCTTCTGGGTGAATTATAATTTTTCACCAGCCTGAAATAAGGTGGTTAGGGGGCGATTCCCCACATAAACCACAATTTGGGGTGAGGTCGCGTGAGGACACGCCCATTTTCGGCCCTCTACGTGCTTCCGGGAAAGCTCCCGGTGGCCTCGCGGGCGCAGCCGCCAAATGGTCACGATGTCCCCGTCCTGCGCTTCCAGTCGGTGGGACAGCTCGGGTGAGGATGGCCATGCCAAAAAAACAATGAACGTGCCAGAGCGTGACTGAAGGCTTAACTCTTTTGAGGTTTGGGGCAACATTCGACTCGCAGCAAGCAAATTGTGAGCAGGCGTTCAGTGTGCAACAATCCTTTGGCACTGAAATGTTGCGGTGCAAGATGGTGCAAGCAGAGCGCCACAATGTGCCGAGGAAAGGCTCCAACAATACACAGTCTCTTGAAGTTGCGAAACTGACTTGATGCGCAGGCTCCGGAGCGCAAACAGTTGCCGACATGCGCGGAGGAAGGTGTTGTGAAGGTGGTTGATTGGTTGATCGTCACACCTCGGCTCACGTTGGCTGAAAAGTGGTGCTCCGTGAGAAAGGGAAAACCACCGACAACAAGACTGATTATCCCACCGAACTGCCCTTGTTGGTGTTGTAACCAAAGGCTCACAGCGCCAGTCTGGTGAAACTGCGACGGACTTTGCAATCGCTGTGCTTCATCCAAAGCTCGAAATCCAGAACAACCTTCAAGCTTTTCAACTCTGGCAACGCGCAACTGCAGCCTTTACAGGCAACGGCCGATCCTGGCGGGCGGCGATGCTTGAATCCCAATCAGCTCCTGATGGCATGCCGGCAGCATGAGTGGGGATCAGTCTCGGAGATAGGGAGTGTTCAGCTTGAGCTGCAAAGCTCGGATGCCATATACCGCCACGGACCTGGGTGGTTGGAACTCATGTTGACGTCAATCAACTGCAACCTCGAAACGCGAACCGATGATCATTTCACAGCGGAGCTAGGCATGGGAATGATGGGCAATGAGCCGCAACCTTCGAAGGCACCATATCCCATCAAAGTCACGGAGCTAGGGATGATAACGCTGACCAACAAGCTGCAACCTTGGAACGCACTATGTTCAATCTCAGTGACAGAGTCAGGGATGGTCACGCTTGCCAATGAGCTGCAACCTTGAAAGGCAGCACATCCTATCACAGTCACGGAGTTGGGGATGGTCAGGTTTGCCAACGAGCTGCAGCCTTGGAAGGCACCATGTTCAATTTCGGTGACAGAGTCAGGGATGGTCACGCTTGCCAATGAGCTGCAATCTTGGAAGGCATTATAGCCTATCATCGTCACCGAGGTGGGGATGATAACGCTGGTCAATGAGCTGCATCCTTGAAAGGCATTGTGTTGAATCTCAGTGCCAGAGTCGGGGATAGTAACGCTTGCCAATGAGCTGCAACCTCGGAAGGCACCATATCCTATCACAGTCACAGAGTTGGGGATGGTAACGCTTGACAATGTGCTGCAACCTCGGAAGGCACCATGTTCGATCTCGGTCACAGACTCAGGGATGGTCAAGCTTGTCAATGAGCTGCAATCTTGAAACGCATCATATCCTATCATAGTCACGGAGTCGGGGATGGTAACGCTTGCCAATGAGCTGCAACCTTCAAAGGCAGCATCTCTCAGTACCGTCACAGAATCAGGAATGGTCAGGCTGGCCAAGGAGCTGCAACCTTGGAAGGCACCATATCCGATCACAGTCACAGAGCTTGGGATGCAGACGCTTGCCAACGATCGGCAACCCGAGAAGGCACAATCTTCAATCTCAATGACTCCTCTTGGAATCTCCGCTACGAGCAAATCTTCCCGCTGGCAGCAGGACGTTGAGAAGCTTGAGCACTCTACTGGCTTGATGCTGAGGAAAGCCAGAACTTCTGCGCCTGGAACGGCCTCCGACACCATCTCTTGGTTGTTCAAGAGGGGCCTGTCTCCAACAACCACCTCCACTGAGCTCATGTTGCGCTGTGATTCATCCCCGCAGGGCAGCCACCCACGCAGCTGCCATTTGAACTCGCGGACAGTCATGTCTGCCAGCAATTTGAACGCTTCCTCTTTGCCGGACGGCGCACAGCGAACCGTAATCTCTCTTGCCATGGCAAATGTCTTAGCTACCAACTGCTGACTAAAATTATGTTCTGTGAATGGGTGCTTGACCTTTGCCCGGTTGCTCGTCGCTCAGTAAAGTCGTCCAACTGCTCGTTTGCTCGTCCCCTAAGACCGGGGGAACGGGCATGGAACGGACTGGAAAGGAAGCTTTCACGGGCATGGAACCCAAAAGAACACCCTGCCAGGGAGATGGCTCTACACATTTCGGGTATATACATATATATATATATATTATATATATATATATATGTATTAATATATATATATACATAATACTTTTAGGAGAAACGTCCGGAGAGTAACTGAATTTCTTAGTTGGACTTCCCACATGTCCAAAGTCCATGAAACCACTCATCTTCCAAAGCTATGGTGCGTCCCTTTCTCCAGGAGGTACAGACCAAAAAGTCCGGTCCTTCAAAGGGGCGTAAGTTTCCCTTGTTCAACCGTGAGTCCACTGGCTTTGGTGTCCCTGTCCCAGTGGATCCATCCAGTAGGTACCCCTTCGCCAGTTTGGTTTTGGTGTTTAAATCGGGTGGCAAGGCCTTTACCCAATACACAGTAATACAGGTAACTGGATCCACTGGGCAATCATAAACTACTGGATTTGTTCTGAAGCCTATGGCTTTGTCTGAAACCCCACAATGGCAAGGGTGTTTTTCATTTGGTTTCCCCGGAATCAACCAATCTGGGCTTCCCTAAAAAAGGCAGACCCATGCAGACCCATATCCGGACAGGCCTATTAAGCAGGTTCCTGCTCAACCTGGTGCAACAAAGGGAGTGTTGTTTCTTGAGTTGGTCGTCATTTAGGAGTTGTCTCAAAGGAAAACCAAGGGAACAACCGCCGCCTTGAGGATAAACTAAGACCAAAGGAATCAAACACCCACACTTTTAGGATAATTACAACCCTTGCGGCTATGACATGTGTGGAAGTTGCTAATTACCCTTTTGGTGTTGCGTCAAAGAGAAACCACAGGGAAACTCGTGTGGACCCCTAGAATGTGGCCGCCTGTTTGGTTGGTTGAAGGAAAATAAAGGTAAACCAAGCCATGTTTAGGAGACACCCTGCTGCGAGACGCCAGCGCTCTCCTGATGCTCAGGATCCCGAACGGTTTGGGTGGCCGCATCCTTCACATTCAAGCCTAGTCCACGGGGCAGAGGGAGGGGGGGGGCTGCTTTAAGGCAATGACTAGCCCCACTGATCAGTTCGGTGTTCTGCCCCAGTGATTCTGCGCCGTTTTGACATCTCTTTGCTTTGACATGCTCCAGCCTACCTGGAGTCTGAACCTGCGTGAAGACACGGTCAGGTCTCCTGTGTCATCAACGCAGGGTGTGACCCTGTAAGCACAAAGCAGTGTCTCTATGCAGTTTCACAGTGTGTCTGTGTGTGCCTCTGTTTCTGTGCGTCTCGTTGTGTCTGCATGTGTGCGTGTGTGTGTGTGTGTGTGACTCTATGTGTCTGTGTGTGTGCCTGTTTGTGTGTGTGTGCCTGCCTCTGTGTGCCTGTGTGTGTGTGTGCCTGTGTGTGTGTCTGTGTGTGTGTGTGTCTCTGTGTCTGTGTGTGTGTGTGCGCCTGTCTCCCTAGAACCCAACCAAGAACCAAGAAATGACGAATAACCAGCAGCCAAGAACCCAATTGAACCCTCACCAAGAGCTAGCTGTAACTTTTGGATGGCAAAACAACCCTCCCAATGCGGTTCCTCTAAACCCCTGAGCAAAAGGTCGTTATATACCTTTGTAGGCTTGATAGACCTTTGCCTGGGCTGTTCAAAACGGAGTGTTGGCCAATCCTAATCCATAATCCTTGTAGGGGACCCTTTGAGTAACCCAAGGTAAGGATCTTGCGGATTGCCTTTGAGCAGCCCAGCTTCTTTGCCTCCAAAAAACCCTAAACCCTAAACCCTAAACTTTAAACCCCATCTAAGGGGCCTTTCAATTCACACCCGATGCACCAGCCAACTCAAACCCGTGCCAAGGGGCGCTTGGCTTTCGCAGCCTCCACGGCGGTCTGCACCTGCGGATTCCACAGGCTTCCCTACATCTCATGAAAGATCACCTAAGGAAACAACTACTTTACAGAACCAGGCGCCGAATTATGTGTCACCAGAACCTAGTGGTTCGTAGATCCCAATAATCGATAGACCCTTTAAGATCGCCTAATTACGCCTTACAGAACCCAAAGGTGATGATTTTGCTTGAAACCAAACAAATAAGGTACAGCCCACAATGAGGGGTGATCGAACATGTTTTCTTTGGGTTCAAATGCGATGCGCTCAGAAAATAATCTCATTATTGCATGGCTTAAGACGTGGGAAGGCTAAATCATTTGGTGTGCTTGACCTGGAACAGGGATGTCCCTGTGGTTTGCATTTGGTTGGACCTACAATATTACAAACTGGCCCCATGCAACATGCAGCGGCCATGACAGGAAAAAGCCTCGCGATGTGCGGGTTGCGTCTTCTTTCGTGATTGAACTCGGTGGCTGCAGCTTGGTCAAGCTGGCTTCCACTGGCCGGTGTCCCTTGGCTTGCCTTTCAAGCCCCATCCACATCGAACCTAGTTGCACGCAGGAAGACCCAGGCGAAATCTGACTTCTCCAGTCGTAGCTATCCCAAAATTAAGTACTTACTTTGGACTTGCGGCCTGCTTCTGGCCAGGCCCATGTGTCGGAAGCGGCCGCGCATCCGTTTCAAGACATTGGCACACTGAGAATACGCGTGTGTCTCACAACGAGGGAATCCAAAAGCCCCGAAGCTCATCGATCCCAAATGGGTTACACAAACACCCGGTGTTTGTTTGCATGTCCCGAAACTCTTCTCGCACGTCCCCGTTGTTGCTGACCTTTGAATCAAAACGAGGAGTTTTCATACAACCCCAGACCTTGGTTGTACAACCCGGTACATCGACACATGCAACGGGTCTGTTTGTTCGTTTGTCTCCAAGATGGGTTTTCTGTTTCCATTCGACACAACCCATCCAAGGTACCCTGAACACAATGGCCCCCATACTGTGGATGGACAAAATCCTGCACCAGTTGGGATAGATGTAACCCTATGAATATCGGCGCAATCCACCAATGCCTGGCGTGGATTTTGCCTCTCCACAGTACCTCCTTCCAAGAAATGATGGTCCGCCCCCTTTCGGGAATCACTCACTCCGAGATCGATAGCCCAAGACTGACGAAGTTAAGCAAGGCTGCAATCGTTTCAATGAATCCGGGTTTACTTACAACTGCTCCAGCACAAGCACCTTCTTGTTGGCAGCGATACGGATTCTGCTTTCAGCGAAACCCGCCGGCTTCGCCGCGCCTGCACCCGCGTGCGGGCCGCCGCCAGCGCTTTCTGGGCGCCCTGGCTGAGATTGGCGGAAGGTGCGGGGTGGGATTACCGCAGCTTTCGTTTACCAGAAACAATAATCAAAGTACGTAGCAATCAGTTACCATACTCAGCTATATAATAGGTACAGTCAGCACACAACTGAGGTTCTCAACCAGAACACGGATGGGAGACAATTGGGTGTCCATGTCCTAACCGATTTCTACTCACCGTATGTTTCATTCCGTCCCTTACTTTATGAATCTTAACAACTCCTTCAAAGAGATGTCACCTCAGCTGCTGCACCCAACGCGCGAAAACGTTCTTTGATTCTGGGCCATACTTCGTGGATCTTGACACGATGGCAAAAAGAAGTCCTAGTTAGCCCACGGCTGTGAACTGAAGGAAGCTGAGAGTGGAATAACCTTGGGTCAAAGCAACTGTATGGAAACTTGGGCGATTCGGATGCCGAAGCTTGTGGCCTAGCCACAGGCTTCTGTGGAATGCGAATAGTCACTAAGCCTACGAGTCCGCTGGTTGGGGAAACCAGCAAGGAGCCAGCACGTCTGCTTCGCACAGGGAGGCCAGAAAACCCAGGCTGGCGAAGCATGCTTGGCAACCACAAAGTCATCATTCACTTTGGACATCATCCCGCGACCGAAGGCATCGTTGGTGCTGTTTAAACAGAGCAACGCAGCCAACGCCGCAAATAAAGACTGACTAGAAAAAGGAACGACACTGTGGAAGCGTGTGGGTACGCGTCAAAACTTGGAGGCCAAGTTTGGGCCAAGCTCCCAGAAACCAAACACACATATCAGAAACCATTCTCATCCATTCTCATTTGTCAGGATTCCAACTGATCACCAGCACCTTCTTCAAGCATGTCTCTGTGACTACCAACAAAAGGTTCAATTTGCAAACAAAGGCATGATTTTGCGAAAACTCATGGCGCCTAGTTGCCGAACTACAATATGTTCAGTTTGCCAATCAAAAGAGGTCGTCGCCAAGAAACATAGCAGCACACAGGCAAAACCCACACTCAATCTGCCAAACACAAAGGTTCATTTGCGTCCACTTGTCAAACAACGCAGGGCAGTTCGCCAAAGCACACCCAGCAAACAATCAAACTGAATTTGAACTAAAAGAGCTGAAGCGTGCAAAACATGTCCGTCAAATTGCCAACAAACAACTGTGCCATGCTGATTTGACAAATTAACAATTACATTTGACACACAAACAATCTCAGTTGTTGGACCCATCCAAAAGTAACATGTCTGTCTGAGTCTGGTCGAGATTGGCCAACCTTAAAACATGAAATAAATCATACAAGCCCCCACCCCCCCCCCGAAATGCAATATTTCGCCATTATGTAAAAAACAAGCACATTATGTCAACGTTCGCCAAACAAAAAACACACCTACAATATATATATATATATACAAATATTATATATACATACTTACATACATACATACATACATACATACATACATACATACATACATACAGACAGACATACATACATACATTACATTACATTACATTACATTACATACATGCATACATACATACGCACGTACATACATACATACATACATACATACATACATACATATACATTACATTACATTACATACATACATACATACATACATACATACATACATACATACATACATACATACATACATACACATACATACATACATACATACATACATACATACATACATACATACATACATACATACATACATACATACATACATACATACATACATACATACATACATACATACATACATACATACATACATACATACATACATACATACATACATACATACATACATACATACATACATACATACATACATACATACATACATACATACATACATACATACATACATACATACATACATACATACATACATACATACATACATACATACATACATACATACATACATACATACATACATACATACATACATACATACATACATACATACATACATACATACATACATACATACATACATACATACATACATACATACATACATACATACATACATACATACATACATACATACATACATACATACATACATACATACATACATACATACATACATACATACATACATACATACATACATACATACATACATACATACATACATACATACATACATACATACATACATACATACATACATACATACATACATACATACATACATACATACATACATACATACATACATACATACATACATACATACATACATACATACATACATACATACATACATACATACATACATACATACATACATACATACATACATACATACATACATACATACATACATACATACATACATACATACATACATACATACATACATACATACATACATACATACATACATACATACATACATACATACATACATACATACATACATACATACATACATACATACATACATACATACATACATACATACATACATACATACATACATACATACATACATACATACATACATACATACATACATACATACATACATACATACATACATACATACATACATACATACATACATACATACATACATACATACATACATACATACATACATACATACATACATACATACATACATACATACATACATACATACATACATACATACATACATACATACATACATACATACATACATTACATACATACATACATACATACATACATACATACATACATACATACATACATACATACATACATACATACATACATACATACATACATACATACATACATACATACATACATACATACATACATACATACATACATACATTACATACATACATACATACATACATACATACATACATACATACATACATACATACATACATACATACATACATACATACATACATACATACATACATACATACATACATACATACATACATATACATACATACATACATACATACATACATACATACATACATACATACATACATACATACATACATACATACATACATACATACATACATACATACATACATACATACATACATACATACATACATACATACATACATACATACATACATACATACATACATACATACATACATACACATACATTACATTACATTACATACATACATACATACATACATACATACATACATACATACATACATACATACATACATACATACATTACATACATACATACATTACATACATACATACATACATACATACATACATACATACATACATACATACATACATACATACATACATACATACATACATACATACATACATACATACATACATACATACATACATACATACATACATACATTACATACATACATACATACATACATACATACATACATACATACATACATACATACATACATACATACATACATACATACATACATACATACATACATACATACATACATACATACATACATACATACATACATACATACATACATACATACATACATACATACATACATACATACATACATACATACATACATACATACATACATACATACATACATACATACATACATACATACATACATATGCATACATACATACATACATACATACATACATACATACATACATACATACATACATACATACATACATACATACATACATACATACATACATACATACATACATACATACATACATACATACATTACATACATACATTACATTACATTACATTACATTACATTACATTACATTACATTACATTACATTACATTACATTACATTACATTACATTACATTACATTACATTACATACATACATACATACATACATACATACATACATACATACATACATACATACATACATACATACATACATACATACATACATACATACATACATACATACATACATACATACATACATACATACATACATACATACATACATACATACATACATACATACATTACATACATACATACATACATACATACATACATACATACATACATACATACATACATACATACATACATACATACATACATTACATACATACATACATACATACATACATACATACATACATACATACATACATACATACATACATACATACATACATACATACATATACATACATACATACATACATACATACATACATTACATACATACATACATTACATACATACATTACATTACATACATTACATTACATTACATTACATTACATTACATTACATACATACATACATTACATACATACATACATACATACATACATACATACATACATACATACATACATACATACATACATTACATTACATACATACATACATACATACATACATACATACATACATACATACATACATACATACATACATACATACATACATACATACATACATACATACATTACATACATACATACATACATACATACATACATACATACATACATACATACATACATACATACATACATACATACATACATACATACATACATACATACATACATACATACATACATACATACATACATACATACATACATACATACATACATACATACATACATACATACATACATACATACATACATACATACATACATACATACATACATTACATACATATACATACATACATACATACATACATACATACATACATACATACATACATACATACATACATACATACATACATACATTACATACATACATACATACATACATATACATACATACATACATACATACATACATACATACATACATACATACATACATACATACATACATACATACATACATACATACATACATACATACATACATACATACATACATACATACATACATACATACATACATACATACATACATACATACATACATACATACATACATACATACATACATACATACATACATACATACATACATACATACATACATACATACATACATACATACATACATACATACATACATACATACATACATACATACATACATACATACATACATACATACATACATACATACATACATACATACATACATACATACATACATACATACATACATACATACATACATACATACATACATACATACATACATACATACATACATACATACATACATACATACATACATACATACATACATACATACATACATACATACATACATACATACATACATACATACATACATACATACATACATACATACATACATACATACATACATACATACATACATACATACATACATACATACATACATACATACATACATACATACATACATACATACATACATACATACATACATACATACATACATACATACATACATACATACATACATACATACATACATACATACATACATACATACATACATACATACATACATACATACATACATACATACATACATACATACATACATACATACATACATACATACATACATACTACATACATACATTACATACATACATACATACATACATACATACATACATACATACATACATACATACATACATACATACATACATACATACATACATACATACATTACATTACATTACATTACATTACATACATACATACATACATACATACATACATACATACATACATACATACATTACATACATACATACATACATACATACATACATACATACATACATACATACATACATACATACATACATACATACATACATACATACATACATACATACATACATACATACATACATACATACATACATACATACATACATACATACATACATACATACATACATACATACATACATACATACATACATACATACATACATACATACATACATACATACATACATACATACATACATACATACATACATACATACATACATACATACATACATACATACATACATACATACATACATACATACATACATACATACATACATACATACATACATACATACATTACATACATACATACATACATACATACATACATACATACATACATACATACATACATACATACATACATACATACATACATACATTACATACATACAATGTTTTGACCAAAGGTCATCGAAAAAACAACCCCCGGACGTGGTTTAGCCCCATCACATTGGGCTCCATCTTAAATCACCCCCAGATCCGTCGATCGGGTCTCAGCCATCGGAACCCCTCGCCTTTTTACCAAGATTCATCCAAAAGAACACACACACACCGAACCAAACAAATCCCCCCCGCCTCCCCCCCCCCGCCCCCGCCCCCCCGCCCCCGCCCCCCCCCCCCCGGACTGCCTCCATGTTGAAGCTGATGCCGCCGGGCTTCGGCACCTTCCGCTTGGGACGGATGGACTCCTCCGCCTCCTGCAAGCGGCGAAAGAGCGAGAGAGAGGTTGGGCGTCTTGGTCGCTTGTTGTATTTTTGTCGAGCACCTCGCTTTTTTGTGTCTTCTCTTCTTTCTGCACCCGACGTGAGGTCGTTTTGGTTTCTTTGTTTTTTGTGTATTGTTGTTTTCTCGTTTTTTTATTTCTGCACCCGACGCGAGTCATCCAGAACACATCCATGCAAATGATAAGTTGATGTTTTTGTTTATTCCCTTCCAATTTCCAACATGACATATGATTCAAATGATGCTGGATACATATTGACACATTCAAATGAGAAGTTGTTCTTCTAGTCCCTTCCAACATGACCTGTCATTCAAATAATGAATCATATACACTCCGATTAGATCCATCATTCACCGGCCGTGTTTATCTGAATTCATCCTGATATCCACATAATCATTTATGTATAGGGAGCGGGGCGCATCAAAAATCACACACCTGAAATCAGGTGCCCCCCCCCCCCAAGAAAGGAACACTCGAACTCCTGTTGGGGCACGCCATTTTGGCCCCCATGCAAATTTGCAGGGGGAAGTAAGCAGGACAAAGCCACACAAACATGTCAATCCTGGCTTTCTGTGTCAAGATATACCGAAATAACCCCCCCAAAATGGATGGAGTTCCTTTGGTTTCCCTTCAACCGGCCACCCACTGAAAGAAGAAGGTACCCTTCTTTGATTAAGACCCCGGACAAAATAATGTTTCCAGTAGTGCTAAATTCCTTTTAAAACCAACAAGGGAAAATAAAACAAACATATTCTTAAGCAAATGGAAGCCTTCGCCTCAAAAACAAACACAAACACCCCGGACCCAGGTGGCCTCTTGAGGGCTGCCAGCGGCCTGGCGATTCGAATCGCAGCTTCGAATCGATTCTCTTAGATCTTTCGCCCCTAAAATACTGTGGATGGACAAAATCCTGCACCACCTAAGAAACCCTAGAATGATATGATCGCCAGTCATGGGACAACTCTGAAAAAGTACCTACAACGAGTCATTCCAAGTACATGCAAAACACATTGGCGTGACACACACACACACACACAAAAAGGAGTATTGATGTATGGTGCCGCTCGCTTTAATCTGCTTCCTCGCGCAAAACACATCTGGCTCACAAAGGTTCACTGTGAACGGTTCACTCTTCTTGACACTTTTTCATTTAGAAGGCATGTGAGCCCCAACACGGGGGCAGGCCTGTCCTTCTCGCTGAGCCCAGAAACGTATGCTTCAAGAGTTGGAAGCAGAGGACTTCAGCAAAAACTGCCTTACGACAAGCATGTTGCCCTTCAGCTCTTTTTTGCCAAACGTAGCAGCTACTCATGCTGTTGGCGGCATCTAAAATGGACAAGGGAGAGCTTCAAAGGTCTCCTGACTAGGCTGGAATTAGGACCCCAGCAAAAAAAATATCTTTCTTGCCTGGTTAGTGGAAAACAAAAGGGACCCAACAAGGCAAAACGTAAAAAGGGGAACTAATTCTAGGGAAGCTGACAGACCCGCCAGCATGCATCCTGACTCATAGGTTCAAAACGGTGGCGTGAGGATATCGAATCAGTTTCTTGACACAAAAGCGCGCCAAACGAGACTCTGACCCTCCATTTGCTTAAGTCCCTGGAACAAAATAATAATATTTCCAGTAGTGATTGATTCCCTTTAAAACCAACAGTGTGTGTGCTTCCTTCCTTCTGCACAAGATTTCCCCTCGAACACACACACACACATACACTAGTAATATTGCATACACAGAAGGAATACCCTAATCTTACTCCCCCTGAGGACTTGGCGTAGGTCAAGGCTGTGGAAGGACTAAAAAGATAAGGTCGATGTTTCGCTTTTCCTTTTCTGGGAAGTTTTGAAGGGAAGCCCACAACACAACCAACACCGACTTGAAATATGTATAAATATATATATATATATATATACACGTATATGTGTATATTATATATAAATGATTATGGTCTGGCTTGTAGGTATCTGCAAGAGTCTTCAGTTGCCCATGGTCCAAAACCAATGGTATCATTTTGGGATAGCTGAATTCGCCACCCATTTTAGTCCAAATCTTAGTGGTTGGATTGGTTGATGTTCACTGGGGGCTAACCGTTGGGTTTTGACCCAGGCCAGTTGGTGCAGGGGAGCTCCATCAGCCAGCCTCAGCGTTCTCGGCGCGGGGCACCGGCCTGAGGGAATTCGGAGATCGCGGGAGCGAGATGCTGGGGCATCCCAATTGGTGGGGACAATGGGTTTAAGACGAATGGGGATCCCAAATAAGCTTCGATTACTTGTGGGCCAAGTTAGTATGTTGGCAACCCAGGGTTGCAAGACACTTTTCAGTCAGACTAAGTGGGGTTAACCGTGTTATTGGGGCTAACCACTTACTAACTTGGCCAAACATCCTAGTAGGGTCCCCTAATTTGAGGCAAGCGGTACTTGACTGATCCAACGGCTTAGATTCCCTGCAAGCTTTGCAAATGCACGGCTACATAGTAACACCTTTAAGACAAGCCTTCAAGTAATACATGATGCTAACAATGGTTCCTGTTGGCACATGCCTGATTGAGACCTTCGAATCAATCATCGTCCCCTTTTTCACAGGGCACGAGGCCTTTTGACCACGGCCAGTGGTCTAGGCCAACTCAGTCTCGGTTATTTCAAGGCACCAGTGTATCATTGTCGGGTTTGTAGATTGCCTCTCAAGATCACTCCGCTTGAATTACCGCCATGGTTTGCCTCAAGGGGAAGTCTTCGTACCCCCGGATGAAATATTGCGGACTCTGCCGGGCGGAGACAGAGTAAAACATATACATGGACATCAAGGTATGTACGTTGACATATACATACACATGCACACCAATATATATATATATATATATGTGTGTGTATATATATATATATATGTTACATATGTATGCATGTACGTATGTATGTATGTATATATATATATATGTATATATAGTCAAAGTAGCATTATCTATTTAATTAATACCAGGCCTCCCCTTAAGCTGTATGTGAGTGGCCACGGAAAACATAAACCGTGCTGGCCCAGAAGAGAAGAACAAGCAGTTAAATATTGGACTCTGTCCAGCTGCAAACTTGCACCGTGACTCTGGCAAAAACAGATTTGTCCGTTGGCCTAGTGGAAAACATGCTCCCCTTGCAAATGAGAAGGTTCTTACGGATTGGAGGGGGATCTCTCTAACCACAATAGAAGGGTGGCATCAGCACAATCGGCCAAACGTATCGAACATGGGCAGAGTATTGCTCTTGCAAAAAAGCAAAGACCTGTGGATTGATCTACCCAAAGACTTGATTCGTAACCATCTAAGACGATGGGCTTATCTTTAAACAGAGGGACCCCCAGCCTGGATTCAAGCAACCCAAAAATGTAGCTTACAACTTGGCACGCTATCTCACTCAGTCCAAAGGGGCCGGAAACCAACGGACCGTCTAATACCGTGACTAAACAAAGACCCACACTGCAACCGGTGTGTGTCATCCTTTCTTTTATTTCCTCTGTAAGGGGAAGGACACCCCTTTGAACTCAACAGCTACTGGGAAACGCGGATTAATAATTCAAAGGGCAAGCAGCCTCTTTTAGTGGAAATTTCAGACAACTTACGGAGAGCTCCGTATGAACAGCGCGGGTTCTACTTAGATCCTGCGGCAACATTAGAGAGGGCGGCCTGAGCTTGGGATTCAAACTGGGCGGTTTCTGTTGGTGAAATCACTAGAGATGGCTTCCTCCAAAGGCCTTTGCCCAACCACAGTAGAAACAGAAACCATTTTCGGAGTCTATCATTGTCTATCATTACTTGCCCAAAGGAACCAGAAAAATAAGCTCAGGTGATATCCCCAACAGCATGCGGTGCTCTTTGTAGTGCTCGCACCACCCCGCAGCCCTCGCAGAACCTCGTGGAACCCTGGTGGAACCCTGGTAAAAACCTGGTGGAACCCTACCTCAGGCCGCCCCGGACCACCCCGGAGCCTATCTGGCCCCAAAGCTTTCAGCTGTTGGGGAGAAACAACTCACCTTTGACTTTGGGGTCATGACTAAACCCATGGCTGCCAACACAGGAAAACCTAAAGGTCAGATCAAACGGTTCGCTTTGGTCGCTAGTTTTTACCCCACCAAAACGGGAAAAGTTTGGCTCACTGAGCCTCAGGGCACAGGCACGTCGATCGCATCGTTTCGCACCTGCGATGCCCGGAGAGGCAGGAAAGGCTTGCACAGGTGCTCCGTGCTCCCGCAGAAAGGCGGCCGAGTTCCAGTTTACCCTAGCTCGGTTGCTTTCTGCTCCCCTGCGAAAACCCATTCGTTGGCAAAAAGTTAAAGTCCTAACATCCAAGCAAGATGCACCAAAGCTAGAACCATTGTTCAAGCAGGGGGGGCCAAGCCAGGGACCTTCGACGAATGCGTTCGAAGTCGAACGTCCCGTCGAAGGGTCTTCGAACCGAACGCCCCAAATGAGTTGCGTGCTGTGAGCAATTGCGCGGCCTGCACTCTCTTGAGCGCCGTCCGTCTTGTTGTTGCCATGCCGTCTGTTGTTCTGCAAACAAAGACCTGTGCTCTTGCCTGTGATATCTACCCAAGCCGCTGGATTGACCTGCTATGTTTTTTTTGGCAGGTCCTTATGGTCCCTTCCCTGAACCGCTTTTGCTTCTCTGTTTGCCTTTTCAAGCAAGTAGAGGGAAGCCAGCTTGACTTCATGAAGCTCGCTGTGGCATTTACATTTTTGACACTCAACGCGTTGAATCTACATGGGTTGGCTTCCTTTCTCGGGAGTCTTACTTCGTGTGCGTGTGTGTGTGTGTGTGTGTGTGTGTGGGTGTGTGTGCGATTGTTTTGCTTGTTTGAGCTGCGAAATCGGAAACCAACAGTGCAAAACCCACGTTTTCCGCACTTTGCAAGAAGCACCCCTGCCCAAGTGATCCCACCCAACACATTGGTAAGCACTGCCCAAGTGATCCCGCCCAACACGTTGGTAAGCACCCAACCAACACGTTGGTAAGCACCCCCGCCCAGGTGATCCCACCCAACACATTGGTAAGCACCCCCGCCCAAGTGACCCCGCCTAACAGATTGGTAAGCACCCCCGCCCAAGCGACCCCGCCTAACACATTAGTAGGCACCACATTGGTAAGCACCCCGACCCAAGTGCTCCCGCCCAACACAAGTTTTCAATGGCGGTATGCGGGCAGTTTTCAGCGGTGGTAAACCTCCGAGGACCTTCTGAATGCCACCGCTCCGATCCGATCCGAGAGCGGAACAAAAAAGAGTATCCGAAGCAATGCCTTCACAAGAATCATAAACCTGGGCCCCCAAACCCAGAAAACGTGAAACACCTTTGAATCTCCAGAAACATGTCTTTAAACATGTGTTTGTTGAACCTCCAGGACATCCATTTCGTCGAATTTGGCGCCTGAAAAACATCAGGTTAGCCTCTGAAACCATGGCTACTGGAAGAGTGAACCACCACATAGGAGAACTGCCAAAAGACTGGGCCAAGACAAGGGGGAAGCCACGCTGGCAGTGCTGACCAGGTAATCAAATTTCATGGCCGAGTGTAGGTCGTTTCAAACTGGAAGGGAAAAGCAAACTGGAAGGGAAAAGCAAACTGAGCGCCCCATTGGCTGGTCAAAGCAAACTGTCCAAGTTGCTTGGGGCCCTGTTTGGAGGTTTGGTTCCCTCCCAAACCAGAAGCACAACATATCGCAGTTGCCGTTTTGCTACCGGTCTCAAGCAGTTGTTTGAAGAACCTGCTGTCTGTGAAAACTGGTGTGACAGCTTGTGGGTGTTGCCAACAATAGGGCAATCTGAACATGGTTGGCTTCCGGATAAATTCAAAAAAAGTGAAGGCTCTCCCGCGCAGCTCAATTTCTGATAGCTGGCAAGATTCAGAAACCTGATTTCGTTTTTGGTGAAACGATTTCACAAGATTTCACAAGCTGTGCCTGGTTCTGCCTTGGGCAACCCCTTCCTGCACAAGCCTCTGCTGCCAAATAAAGTGGCTCAGGTAGCCGCTGTTCGCACGCCTATACAAGAACCACATCAAAGCCCAGCCAGGCACAAGGAAGGCCACAATCGCGATTACAAAAACAGTCTCATTGTAGCGCGCGAGGAAGACATTGCCGGCCATATACGCGCCCATGCTAAACACAAGCACTGGCATCATGCGAAATATCATGATCGAGTTGGTCAAGACCTCGCCGCATCTGGACCTAGATTCATGACGAAGGTGATAGGCCAAGAACTTCATCCACGAGACACATACAGGACAGATCAAAAACACAGTAGTCATAAGATAAAAGCACACACTGATCAGGAGCCCATCCGGATGAGGTGGTCTCAGAGCGTGCTGCATAAAGTCGAATATACCCCACATTGCCGGACATATAATGGCAACACTCCAAGCAAAACTGAACGCATCATGCTCAAGCTGCGCTGTAACCGCATCCACGACTGTTGTACGAATGTACTCTGCAAAGCTATCTGAGCTGCCGAACCATATCCCAATGCATTCGGAAATGACCCGCCTGTCACAGAATTGGGCTCGAGCGCACTTGCCCGTGCTGCAGCAGCTGCATTTTAGCTGATCTATTTGCAAGGACAACAGCTGCCTTTGCATGACTTCTATAGAACGATAAAAGCGGCGCATGATGTGGCAACTTGCATAAGCAGTGGCATTCACGATTGTTGTGAAGCCAGTAACATACCACACATATGGCCATGCTGTTTGTGGATGGTGATCAATTGGAAAGGCAACAAGCAGTGGAATGAATCCTATTGTGGAAATTGCATAAACAGCAAACGAGACTGGCCCTGTCAGGGTCGGGCAAATGAGAAGACGCCTTTCTCGCTTCTCCTTGCTTTTTAGGAACGCCGCGATCTCGAACACACACCACAACCTTTCGGCAAAGGAAGCATCCCAAAGCACCAGCATGGATTCTGACTTATCCAAAATCCCGGCAAGGCTGCAAATAGCCTGTGTCTTTAAATCTCGCGTTTCACTGATACAGATCCTGTCCAGGAAGACTGCTGTTCTACAACGCCAGCATGCCATGGTCAAAATGGTGCCAGCGGCACCAAGCACTGAGCACCAAACGGAAGATCTTTCAATATGATGCTCTTCCGAAAGATACACATGAAAGTGGAAACCTGGCAAGATGTCAAGATGAAAAAGCAGCATGCCAAGCAAGGCGCAGGCGTTGCCGACACAAAGCGCTGCTAACCCATTCTTCAGCACCAAGAGCGTCAAGCATTTCGCCCAGGCATGCGAGTGCCAAGAATGGCTCCAGAATTCCTGGATTTTGGGCACCTCCCGGCTCTTGGCAAAGAAGTCTCTCCCTTCACTGCCTCTCAACGCCTCCGCGCACGACTCGAAGGCATGGTAGGCAGCGGTGGCCCGCAGAACTTCAGGCCGTGAAATCTTCATCATTGCCATAAAGTCAGCCAAACGACGGATTTTCCTGAGCTCCCTATCGCTGGGCGTGCCATGTGTCTCCGTGTACAAATAAATGGCAGCCGGACAAGCACAGGTAGTCGAGCAACTTCTGCCCACAACCAGCGACCCAACGCTATTTGTGTCTAGATCCGTCATTATCCGGACAAGCAGGAAGCTGCGGCAGACCAAGTCAAGGCCAAGCAAGACAAAGGAAAACTTGAGCAGACTGCTGCTGCAAAGAAGACTCTAATTCCACACTTGGGGTGTTAAAGTGTTTCCTAGAGTCAGGGCACCTAGCCTGACCCTGCATCTCAGGACAAGCACGGAAGAATCAAGGCTTTGCGTGACATGGTCACTCTTGGAAAGTGCGGGAAATGCCCTCAGCAAAGAACTTATTTACTGCATGGACATGTTCTTTAAACATAAGGGTATAAAAGTGCCACAAACGCGATGAGCCGCCATTCCAGTGTGACAATTCTTCTTCTGACGCCGCCACCGCCGGCCGGTGTATCGATTTTTAGGGATCCCCCAAAACGGTGGGGTTTTCCTCTCCAAAGACAAATCCCGTCCGAGCAGGAACCACACGTAAAGGACTTTGATGTCATCTCATTCGCTGCATCCTCCCAAGGCTTGACGCCAGAACCAGGACCAAGGTTCTCCCTGGGCATGGGTCCAAATTATGGATTTGGATCCCCAACAATGGTGCTCCCACTGGTTTCCCTTGAAAACCCCGCAAAAAAGGGTGCCACTTTTCTGAGAAACACTGCGCATAGCGCCATGTGCCGAGCAGATTCGATGTCTCAAAAGCTCAAGTGCTGAGGAACCGCCATGCCCCACGACCATCACGACCTGCATTTTCCCACTGTCTCGGACTGGAACTCGCATGCCCAAGTGGCATCTCGACAGCCGGAGCAAGATGGATGACAAGACTGTGCAACAAATGTGCCGACACGACAACTATGGGATAGCCTTGCCTGCACTAGAGCAGCGATCGATATGTTTGTCTTCAACAATCATGGGCGTGCTCTTAAATGACCACCGCGTAAACCAGGGCAGTTGATTGCACAAGGTACTAAGTAGGCTTTAAAGTTACATGGATACGGCGGATATGATGCCTCTTCTGGGGTATGCACGACCAATTATCCCTGTTGCAAACATGGCACTTAAAAGGGGCCTCTGAAAGACAATTTTCTGCTAGCAGGGGTCCTGCAATCTACAGTAGGCATACATGCACGAGGCTTGGTTTTTTCAGTGGGCAAGGGCATGACGGCGCCATCTAAGCAGCGGACCGTACTTAGTGGGGGCCCAGCGCCTGAGTAAGGAAACATATGCAACCTGTGAACTGCGGCATAGGAGTGCGATGTGCTTGGCTTCATGTACATTGGGCAGCGACAGAATATTACATTGCCTTTGATAGACATGTGGAATTCCATGCCCCTCCTGGCTGTTGTTGGACAAATCGTGAGTGCCGCATGTCCCTCCCAATTGACGACAATGACTACTGGACAGTTTGACCGAATTTCATGTCTGTTTGGCATCAGGACACATCAGCACAGTCAAGAATACGTCGATGTGAGCCGGCCAAAATGCTAGGTCACACATCAGCACTGCCCTCACTAAAAGCGACTTGATGCTTCGCATCTGTGGGCGCTTCCGTGCCTTTGGCTCAAGCGCCTCCAATCGAGGCTTTGAAAAGCTCAAGCCAGTTGCCGGCCGTTCAGCCGGCTTCAGAGATGCTCCACTCGGAATGGAAGGACTTTGAAATCGCTTGAATCCACTACCGAGGCTCCGAAGTCTTGGTCTGCAAAAAAGGCCAATCTGAAATAGCTTGGGACACAACGCACCCAGGAACCTCCCGGCATTCGGGAACGACTACAATGGTGCAATACTAAGCTCATGGCCCGCCCTGTTGAGTTTTAACACCAATTGCATGAGCGAGCCAGCTATGTATTGAGAAGCTGGGCACATCCGGTTCGTCCCTGATGTTCCCAAATTGATCATGGCCGAAGGTTAAACAGGGGGTTGGAAAACTCAGATGCCCAGTGACCATGGAAAAAAAGGGCACCCTTTCTTGGTTGGTTGACTTTAAAGGGGAACCCTTCCCAAACAAAAAGGAAAAAAGGGCACCACTGGGCAACTGGGAAAACTGCATCACCCATACACTTTTGGACTTTTGGCTCTCTGCTAAGATCAGTCTTGGAAGGTTGGTGGTTGCAGGTCTGGTGGCTTCCAGGAAGTGCTATCCTCATTCCGAGTAGCATCAATGCTGTGCGCCCTTACCTCTCAAATGACCAAGGCCGTCTCTGCGAGCAGTGAGCTCGCGGCTAGCATCTCCTTGATCTCCTTGACGACGGACCTGACAGGGAGCAGCTTGTGCGGACTTGTTCCTTTATCAGAAACACGCAATGTTGAACACCCCGAAACTGTGCTTGTGCGTGTGTGTGAGACTTGTCATATTACATTCTGACTTGCAGCAGAATTGGCTCAAGGACATGCATGCACCTAGTAGTCCTCAAAGAGATGTTCAGATATGTGGGCCTTGTCACAGCTTTGCAATTTGAATCAGTCCTGCCCGCGCACCTGACAAAGCCCTGACGCAGCTTAAGTCGTTCACAAACATTATGGTGTGTCTCTTTTCGAGGGCACCTTTTAGGGGTGGTTTTAAAGGGGAACTAAAGGCAAAAACACTGTGTTGGGGGGGGTTGAGACACACCCCAAAGTAAACGGAACCAGTCAACAACTCAAACCGCTGTACTTTGCATGCGTTGACGCTAGCATAATGTCTGTCGCACAAGCCCTCCATGCGGTCCGGGCATCATCTGAAAATATAAGGTTTGCCATAATGGCTCTGACGGGTTTATTGGTCCCAAATCAAAGCCCTAGATAAACGGCGCGAATGTTTCTAGCTACCTGTGTAAAACCTGAACCAACACGTTCAGCATAGCTGTCAATAACATCCACAAAAAACAGGAACCGAGGCTTTAACACCAAGACGTTGATGTCGGCTTCCCGACCAAAAAACAAGGCTGACAACCCGACAACATGTCATGATTCTGAATAACCAGGGTGATTGTTCAACATATAACAAGTCGGTTGGTGTTCAACAGCTCACAAACCCGTTGGTATCTAATGCTTTGCAAGTCGTTTCGCTTCTCACAGCTACGTTGTACAATTGTTCTTTGTGTTTGACTAAACTGTAACTGGGCTGTCCGTTTTCAGATCTCCTGCTAAAGATTGTGGGCTAAATGGGGACACCATTTAACCCCAAGTAAAACCAGCTAGAAGCCTAAGCGATCGGATGGCTAGTAACTGCCAAACTAAGTTATCCGTTCGCACCACTTGACACCATGGCCCAAACTATTTGTTTGCCGGCAAATCAGCAATATGGTTTCTGAACAGTGCTAAAAAAGAGGATTTCGTTATTATTCACAAATTTCTGCATTAAAATCGGCGAGAGGTCGTACCGAAGGAAAATCCCCCAGCTCTCCCATCTCTCTCCGGACCCCAAAGCCCCCAGCTCGCCCGGCCTGTGCGCCAGCCAGGCCGCAAATTGGCTCGCAGCGCTCATCTCCAGCTTGCTGGTCCTTCCCCAAATCGCTCGGGGTCCAGTCGCTTCATGTATCCCGGGTGCAGCATTTCGGCCAAGATGTCCAAAAAAAACTAACCAAGAATCGAAACACGCAAAACAACCAAAAAAAAACATGGACCCCAAAGGGACCCAAATTCGTGACAAACATGATTTTTGCTCCATAGTTCGTCTACCCGAACATATGAAATACCTGTAGTTTCAGAGAAGACCCCAGAAAACCGTATGGTGTTTCTTGCTCAGAGCTGCTCTTGAACTGCCGGTAGGTGAGAAGCAAGTCGATGGCAAACAAATTAGTTGCTGCATGGTCCGTATTTTCAGCTGTGGAAGCACACTGCAAATCAGCCATTTTCTTGGGGTTCCATACCCTACTTCAAGACAAACTCAGACATGGAAGGAGCCAAAACCCCGCTAAACAGCAGATGGGCAAACCTGAAACACAAGACACTTCCCAAAGGTAGGGCCTCGGGGTCTTGTTCAATACCCAAGATGTGCCAGCTTTGCTCGCTCATATGTCCCCTTGAAAAAATCACAAACCAAAACGGAAACTCACACAATGGCAACCCAAAAGCTGATGAGGTCGCAATAGGGGGACCCCCAAAATGGCGGTTTTCTTGTTGGTGTCCTGCAAAACCCAGGTGAAAACTTCCATTTGACTAAGCGCCCTGGACGAAAACAAGCAAAATCAGTAGTGATAGATTCCAGTCGAAACCAAAGAGCGATACTTAAACATAATTCATTTCAGCAAATGGAAGAAAGGGTGGCCTTCAAATACACCAAAAGGCCAACAACAAAAACAACAACAACGAGTTTTCACTGCGGCCACGGGGCATCTCTGAGGCGAGGTCGTTGGGGAACCACCAGGGCAGCATCTCGTTGGACTTCGAAGGGAGGCTCCCTCTGAAGGTCTTGGAGGGGAGGAAGATGGTCCACCTCAGTAGACTCGCTCGAAAGTCGCCATGGCTTTGGGCTGCCCATACTGTGGACGGACGAAATCCACTTCGCACCACCTAAGAAACATTAGAATGGTATGATCCCCTGCAAATACCAAACAATGGTTTCAACCATGGTGTCTTGGGTGGTGCAGGATTTTTTGTCCATCCACAGTATTTCCCCATATGGCTGTGGGTCAAAACACTGCCCCTGGTGATCATGAAAATAGCTGACAAATGGATGTTCATCCACCCGAAAATGGAGCCATAGGTTATGGCCCATCGAAAAACATTGCCAATCCAAGGGAAACTCACATTGATTGAATAAGCCAGAAAAGTGATGTTAAAACCACCAAAGGGGGCAAACATGAGACCCCTGTGGGTCTGACTTCATTGGGAAAGCCTTTGGTGGACACTTTGCACGCGGGATTTATTTCCACCATGGCTGTGGCGTGTTTCCTATTGAGCATTCTAGACGTATGAGTAAAGCGGATATGTTCCAGACTGATACTAAAATAATGGGTTCTACCTGGGGGTGCACATACACCGCTATACGCTCAGTGACAAATTCCAAATTCCTTGTATTGTTTGTGTTCGGCAGGAAAAAATGTCTATTTGTTTAACTCTACAGAAAGGGCACAAGGTTGGAGGGTATATACCAGGCTTCGCGCAGCAATGCCTTCAGTTTCTGAAATTTTCGCCAAATCGGCCCTTGTCAATGGACCTTCAATCTTCCCAGCTTACATAGTTGTCCTCATATACATAGGCTACATAGGTATGGGTCGAAATTTAACCACCAGGAATTGGACCGCAGGTTTTGAACTCCATGTTTCCATTTACCAGGCTAACCCATTTTGGGTATTCCCATGTTTGACCACAGCCACATGTTTTCAAAGGGCTTGGGTCGACCGCCATCAAAAGCAAAAGGTCAATTTGAAGGGCCTTTAAACTTTCAGTAGAGTTTAAAGCCACAATTCAAAAGATAGCACTACTGTGGATCCACCTAAGAAACCCCGGAATGATGATTCTCCTGATACCAACCAATTATGGTTTCCCATGGTTTCAAAGTGTTGCGAACGGATTTCGTCCATCCACAGTGTGCGGCAGCGGCCGGAGACTTAGGACTTCGGCAGCCAATCAAAAACAAGTATGCAGCTGAACAACCAGCAAGCGACCACGGTCTGAGCGTTCTCGGCCGATTGGGAGCCTGAGATAACCTGGTTGCTTTGGAGAGGTGAAAGCATCTTCTGCTTGTTACTGGTGAATACGGGAAAGCTTGCAGGGCTCATCCAAGGCTAGCGTATTTCACTCATGGCCATGAAGGTTTATATAGCCCGTTCTACAACCCTCAAGACGCCAGACGGTGCCGAAATGTTGGGCGCTCGAATGTCGATGAATTCGAGGCACACCATGTCCACCTTCCAGCCGCCTCGGATGCCCAACTGCTTGTTCTCCACCACCGTGTAACCTCAGCCGAAATCTGCCACTCGAGAGGTCGACACGAAAATGATTCGATGTGCTTGGGCTGAGGTCTTCTAAGTGGGTCTTCGGTCTGCGGCCCTGCAAATAGCAGCCAAAAGTCACGTTGAGCAGCAATCACCAAAACGTGCTCTTATGATTCTCAGAGTGAACCCGTCTTTGTATTTACCCCCTGCCACCTGGGATTTTTACCTCATACAGCCGGGAGGCTGAACTGTAACCACGCGGTGTTTCTTCACAAAGA